AGAAAGGATGTGAAAACCTTTACCCATACAGATTTAGACACTATTGAGAGATCCCCCCCCCCCATTTGCATGGTCTTGGGTAAAGGCTAGCAGCTGCACTGTGGACAAACTGGGGATCAAGAGATCAGGCTGGATCTCATAGCAGCCTGAAAATGCAGATCTGATCCTTAAAGTGGAAGCTACAAATACAACCCCATCTAGAACAGGTTGAACACCAAAATAACCTAAGAAAAACCCTTCCAAATCAGACCAGTGGCCAATCTGGCCCAGCATCCTGTTCTCACAGTGGTCAACCAGATGTCTATGGGAAGTCCTGGTACCAGGACCTGAGTGCACACAGGATACATTGAGTCCACTTTAAACTGCCTTGTGTATGCAGCCTTGAAGCATTGGCCACTTTAGATGGTCAGCAAGATGAGCTGGCCTGTGCTCACCTCCGTTCTGTGAACTGCATCTGCCACTTCTGTCTCCCAGGCACCCAGAAAGCTTACTGAGGGCGGGGGAAAGAGGAGGTGGCAGTGAAAGAGGAGGATACAAACAGCATTATTTCTAGGGTTGCCTATTTCTAAAAGTAAAAACAGGACACCCTGGAAGTTGTTGAGGTCTTTTATAGGATTTTTTTTTACAAAGATGCCCCTCCAAAACCCCACGATTTTTCTAAGATCCAGGACAAAGCGCTGCCTTTCAGGATTTTCCCCTGGACATCAATTCCCCCTTTGAAACCCCAGTAATGTCCAGAAAAATCTGGACGTATGGCAGCCTTGATTATTTCCCCACCAATTGTTACAAATAGCAACTGCAAAGGATACTGGGAATGAAAGTCTCAGTCCCTTCCTCAGTGGGAAAGGAATCTCCGCTGAGAACCTGCAGCCCCACCACTGCCCCTGCCTCTTTCTCCTTTAGTTGCCCCACAAAACTTACCAGGGGCAGAGAAAGGAAGCAAAGGCAATGGCGGTATTGGGAACGTCAGTATCACCAGGGAGGATCCTTTTTCACTGGGGATGGGACTGAAACTACACGATTCAGCATCCCCAGTGGGAAAATAATGTGTTTGAGTCTGTTTCTTCTTGGGATGGTAGGAGCGGGAGTTAGTTCCAATCCTAGCCCTGGAAGGAAAGGATACTCCACTGGGCTCAGGAGTGCCTATTGCCCCGCTGCCACTCCCACCCCTCTCTTGCCCTATTCTAGACTTGGGGTAGGGCAGTGGCCATGGTGGAGGCAGAACTGAGGTGAGGATGACCCTTCTTGTCTGGCTTGACCATCTATAAATTGGCTTCTGCAATTAGGGTCCTAGTTCAAATATGTGTGTCATTGACATAGAAACAAAATGAATTAAATGTTTAAAATGTATGACTTATTCTCCATAACAGAAATTTCCTTATGGGCTCTGTTCCGGCACTATGAGCGTTGCAGAAATCAACGTTTGAGGCTGAAGGCGGCAGTGAGAAAACAAAGGGTGTTTATTGCTAGCAATAAAGGCTCAGTGGGATTACTCTCCAAAAGCTGAGCAAGTCCCAGAAGGGTGGGGCCTCCTTAATATACATAGCTGTTATCTGTTAAAGCAATACATATGCATAAACTTCCTCCGATCTAAAGTTACAATACAATGCTAATTATACCATGTATGGTCTTTCCTTCATTGCCTGTTCATTAGTCTCAAAACAGGGATGCGGGTGGCACTGTGGGTTAAACCACAGAGCCTAGGACTTGCTGATCAGAAGGTCAGCGGTTCGAATCCCCGCGACGGGGTGAGCTCCCGTTGCTTGGTCCCTGCTCCTGCCAACCTAGCAGTTCGAAAGCATGTCAAAGTGCAAGTAGATAAATAGGTACCGCTCTGGTGGGAAGGTAAACGGCGTTTCTGTGCGTTGCTCTGGTTCGCCAGAAGCAGCTTAGTCATGCTGGCCACATGACCCAGAAGCTGTACGCCGGCTCCCTCGGCCAATAAAGCAAGATGAGTGCCGCAACCCCAGAGTCGGCCACGACTGGACCTAATGGTCAGGGGTCCCTTTACCTAGGCTCTGTGGTTTAACCTTAGTCTCAAAACAAAGGACTCTTTCTAAGCAATCCCAGCTGCACGTGATCTCTTTGCATTCCTTTCTACCTGAGGGGGTTAGGACATTTGAGCAGAGCAGGTCTCCTTTTCAAATGCAGACACTTAGGAATGTGTTTACAATCTTGGGAGTAAAGCTGCTCCTAGCACAAGATAAGGACGACCTGGAGGTTTCTATATGCATCATGAATACCAGCATGTTGTTGTTGTTTACTTAATAGGTTATTCAACTGAATAGACTGCATTTGCACTCTGGAAAAAGCCAGAGGTCTCTACACACGCCCTCCTCCATGAAGGCAAGGTATTGTCACAGTTTAAGGACACGTTTCAGTCAGGGCAAAGTCTGTGGCATGGTCTGAGGAAAGTCTTGTAGGCCAGATAAAGTTGCTTAGATGGCTATATTCATCCTCTCAGCCAGAAGTTCCCTACCTCTCACATAAGGGCAGGTGCTGTGCTGAAATTATTTGTTGGACACGATGTTATTAATTATGTGTACGTGTGAGATGGAGTTTGTAACTTCAGAACTTATTTTGCCCTTCCTTTCACCCCACTATATATTTTTTTTCTAGAAGTATCATTGAAAATTTGTTGAAAAATCAGAAAGATTTCTAAGGAGGACACTGCATAAATCTCTTGTCTTCGATTAATCAACCAACCAACCAACCAACCAACCAACCAACCAATCAATCAATCAGATATTTTACCTCAAAATCTATTTCAGTAAATGTAATGGTGTCCTGAAGATGTCCAAGCAGGAAGATAACTAGATTCTTTCTCTCTCTTTTTGAAAGACTGGACCAGGGTCAAACAAACAAGCTTTGTGTCATGAGAGTTGGAGGCAACTCTGCCTTTCAAAGTCAAGAAGATGCAAAATAAAAATAAAAATCAGAGCTTTCCCCCAACTGTTAATGTAGCTGATGAGGTATTCTAAAGGGAGGTGAACTCAGAGGAGCTGCAGAGAAAGTCAGGTACCAGTAATCTTCAGGGACTGGAAGAGTTTAATTTCATTATCATGAAAATGAAAGAGTGAATTCTTTGAGCCCTGAAATAAGGTTCAAATGGATCAAAAACAAAAACACCCCCCCCCGAACTGAGGGGTTTTCCTCTTTTTCGAGACACAACTGTGGGAGCACTTTTGAATACAGTGGTACCTCGGGTTAAATACTTAATTCGTTCCGGAGGTCCAAACTTAACCTGAAACTGTTCTTAACCTGAAGCACCACTTTAGCTAATGGGGCCTCCTGCTGCCGCCACGCCGCCAGAGCACAATTTCTGTTCTCATCCTGAAGCAAAGTTCTTAACCTGAAGCACTATTTCTGGGTTAGCGGAGTCTGTAACCTGAAGCGTATGTAACCCGAGGTACCACTGTAGTTACTGTTTTGAACACAGATAGGTATTGAGTGCTTGCTTATGAGTGCAAAGCCTAAGTCCCCCCGCCCCCCGAGGTCGTGTAAGTAACACAAGTGAAGGACAGAAATACATGGAGTGAGGGGTGTCTCTCCAGATGTTAGAAGTGAACACACATCTCATCTTCCCCAAAGAAGATCCTGCTCTTCGCATCTACAAAACTTCCTTCCTTTTTCTTCTTTCTCTTTTTAAAAATTAAAATTTAGGCTTTTACCATGAAATAATCTGTCAGGTTCTGAATTCAAATATGTATGGATAGTAACCAGCATGTTTAGGGTTCCGTACTAAAGGAAAGGAAAGGAAACAAATGACATCATTATCAACTGAAACACGGAAAATTACACCAAATCTTTTATTTAGAACCCCCCTCCCTCCTATCTATCTATCTATCTATCTATCTATATCACAAGCAAATGAGCTAGCTTTTGCACTTTACAGAACTTTTCCTATTCCAGCCTCACAGAGCTCTTCTAGTTAAACATGAAAATAAAAAGTTAAATGCAAGAAATTGAGATGGAGAGGGGAAGAGAGGGGAGGGGAGGAAGACTAGAGCTAAAATGCTGCTGCTAGGGATAATGCAATATGTTAAGAAGGCAATTTAGATAATTTAGATTGTGTTCGGTATAAAAGGCCACAGGTAACATCAATGTATACAGAGACAAAGAAGCAATATTACACCATGTTCCATATTACACATAAAGCTTTGCTAGCAGGTTTATATCTGCAAACTCTTGATGCTTAAGGACACATTACTCTTCCTGTCACCCTTCTTCAAACCGATGTTAAAAGACTGCATCCATTTCTGTATGTTATACACTAGTACAGGCATAGGCAACCTTCGGCCCTCCAGATGTTTTGGCCTACAACTCCCATGATCCCTAGCTAACAGGACCAGTAGTCAGGGATGATGGGAATTGTAGTCCAAAACATCTGGAGGGCCAAAGGTTGCCTATGGCTGCACTAGTATTTATTGTAGACAACATAGGTGTCCAAGACTCGTGCCTTTGTTTCCTCATCTGCCTGCCCGCAATGCATTTTCTCTCTCTGGAGTACATTTCTGGCTATAAATGTTGCCAGCGCTGAGGTTTCCCCCACACACCCCCGAGCTTTTGAACTGCCGACTAATGAGCTGTAGAGCATCACTTATGTAGAAATCATTGTCCTTGGTCCCTCTGTTTACATGGCCGTTGTCAGCGAGAGAGCAAAGGGTCTGTGATATCTGTTCATTTGGAGTCTTGGCAAGCCTTGATCGCACTAGACTTCTATATTAACATCTGACATGGTAATAAACATCAAGGCCTCGGTACCTGATGTTAGCACAGGGTGCCTTTCCGCTCAAAACATCTGGTCCCTTGACAAATTGTTACAGTTACCGCTCCTCATCACACCGTTGGTCCCTGGAAGATTGCAGAGCCCTACGGCACACGTACGGCCAGGGATCTGTTCTCAAGTTGTTGCCATGAGCCGGCCGTATGATGACAATTAGAGGCAGTTAGTGTGCAGATGAGACTTGCGAGTGGCAGGTGGCGAGAATGGGACTCAATTAACGAACATGCACAAATCCCTTCCTAATGAGGCTGGGCCAGCCCCGATGAGAAAGGAAGCGTGGGTCCCTGGCAGCAACAGAAAATCTGAAATGGAGAGGGAGAGAGAAGCCGGTCAACAGGTAGCAGCAGCGCCAGGAAAACAAGCCTCATTGACTCTCAGCAGTCAGGAAGAATAGTGCAGTCATGCAGAAAAGGGCAACCCAAATGATCAAGGGCCTGGAGCAACTCCCCCATGAAGGAAGGAGCTCTTACAGTTTTTATTTTGTGGTGGGAGGCAAAGGAGGGAAGGACGAGGTAGAGGTGCATAAGATTGCGCACTGTGTGATAGAGAAAGCAGCCAGAGAGAAAATTTTCTTCCTATTGCATAACTAGTAGAATCCAGGATCATCCAGTGATGATGACTGGTAGTGGGAGAGGCAGGAGATGCCCTTGGACAGCTCAGCTGGTTAGAGCGTGGTGCTGATAACACCAAGGTTGCAGGTTTGATCTCTGTATGGGACAGCTGCATATTTCTTCATTGGAGTGGGTTGGAATAGATGATCCTCAGGGTCTCTTCCCAACTCTACAATTCTATGGAAAGAAAACACTTCTTTGCACAGCAGGCCGCTGGGCAACATGTCACTCCTTTGCTGAGAGAGCTGCACTGGTTGCCAATTTACTACTGGGACAGGTTCTTGTGCTAGTCAACAAAGCATTAAACAACCTGGGACCCAAATTCCTCAAGGACCACTTGATCCCTTCTAGTCCACCTTGGTCACTTAGATCTTCTGATGGGGTGCTTTTAGTGGTTCCCCACGCTCCTTAGGTTTGGCCGACCTGCATCAGGAATTGAGCTTTTAAGCGAGACAGGGCCTGCTCTGTGGAACTCCTTGCCAAGTGAAGTCTGGAAGCAGTCACTACCATAACATGTAGTGATGATGGCCAGCAACTGGGATAGCTTTAAAGGGGAATTAAACCAATTCATGGAGGATATGTCTATCAGTAGCTTGTGGTCATGATGGTTATCTTTTATCTCCAGTATTGGAGTCAGTATGCCTCTGATTGCCAATTGCTGGGAAATGTGAGCAGAAGAAAGCTCTTGTCCTGCTTTTGGACTTGACATAGGCACCTGGTTAGCCACTGTGAGATCAAAACAATGGAATAAACAAGCCTTTGGTCTGACCCAGCAGGCCTCTTCTTCTGCTTATAGGGTTGATGAGCCATGAACAACAGGGCACATTTGGTTAAAGAATAATAAGGTGTGCCATTATTTTTATATTCCTTTCCATTTTTAAAGATTGTTGTTGCATTTTACTTTGGATAGCCCATTTTTAAATGTTCTCCATAGTGCTGCAGGTGCCATTAAGGTAACACATATCTGCACTGGGCAGTTTGTAATACAGGTCAGATGAATCTTATACTTGCAACTGCTAAGTTTTATTTCCATTTTATGCATTTTCTTAATTTATATGCCACCTTTCTTCCATTATGAAACCTTAGGTAGTACAAGTAGATTCAGCGAGTGTGGTCTAACTATACAAATAAATACCAAGGTTTATAAGCTGATGTTGTTATTACAGCGAGGAAAATAAGTGCAAAAAAATCTCTGTTGTCCAGAGGGGCACTGATGCCAATGGGATCAAACACACTTAAACTCTGTGTTGGATTGGGGCCAAAATGTTTTGTTGTGGTTACAGATTATGAACCTTTCCAACACGTGTCATATTATCTCTCTCCCCAAATCTTCCAGATTTCAATATTGAAAAATAATGAGTTAAATTAAGGACAGAACAGCCTGTACCTTATAATTATGCTCAAGGTGTTTTTATGTCATTTAACACCATGCCAGATTTTTCTCCACTTCTCCTCAACTTGCTAAACACCAGCATGAGGAAGGATTCTGAAGAACTCCAAACCTTGATCACTGTTTTGTGATGTTTTGATTGGTGTTGCCCTAGGATACATTTCGGATTTTTAAAACATTGATTGGCATGACTACCAATGAATTAAGAAACCATTCGTGCTAAAGCAGAGTTGTACAGGGTTTTTTGGTCTGTTCATCTTTGTAAACAATTTTATCAGTAGTAGTAATAATCAATCAATCAATCAATCAATCAATCAATCAGTCAATCAGAGTACTGGGCAGGGGTGCTTAAGGCTTCTGTTATCTGCTGATTTTCCCCTGCAAATACCCTCCTGCTGGTCTCTGAAATGGAAAGTAAGCCTTAAATGGAGGGGGACAGGCTTGGGGGGGGGGATGCTGAGGGGGGTCAGGGAGAATTAGCAGGACTGGGATAGGATAATCTCATCTCATCTCCCCATCCTCTCCTCACTTCTCCCCACTCCTGAATTCATTTGATTTGGGCTGCAATCTTATCACCCGAGCTTCCCTTACAACAAAACATTAAAGAGATGCTTCAGATTGCAGAGTTGATACCATTTTTCTAGCTCCTTGTACACCACATATAAGTACAATGTTAAAATACTGAACAGGAAAAAGGTGGGCGCTCTGACTTTTTCCTTGTGACATGACAAAGTTCAGGACTGAAAGATTCCCCCATATGGGATGCAATATATTCTTGAGATTTACAGAGAGTGTTCATTGTGCTGCCCCCCTTCCCACTGCTGTGGCAACTCTGTGTGTAGTCAAACCAAACAAACCATACTCATGTGATAAGCGATGTATAGATTAATTGAGGGGGTTATTTTGTACTGTCTGGCAACCTTGTTTGCCTTGCTCAGCAACACCGACTTCTGCAAAACTGCCTGCTTCATTTCTGCCATTTCTTTTTCCCCTTGGCCTCAATTCATTTATTGAAATTAATATGTGGGTTTGAAAAAATAAATATTGAGAACCATGCAGTGAAGAGGCACTCAAGCTGATGTGCACCTCAAGCCCGACTCATGATGCCAACTAGTTCATTATAGTCCCAAACACTAATCTGCGGTATTCCTGGATATCTACACAACCCCCAAACCACAAACACAATTATTATTATTTTAAATGTTTTGCTGCTGTTCAAAAACAGCTCAGGTGAAGATATGGCACTGTGCAGAATGAGATGGGCTCTATAATTTAATCCACAGTGCCACGACTATAAACAGGTCTAAGCAACAATATAGTACAACAGGAAAATGTTATACAGTAGCTGTGCTGGATTTTCCAGGTCTGTTCTGCAGCAGTACTGTGACAATCCATAAAATCCTATTTTCCGTTGCAGAAAATAAAAAGTACTGCAGACTACCCATTAGATCCAGCAAATCATAGCATATTCAGAACTTAAAAACAACAACCCAAAAACCCTAATGTGTGGAACTGCCTTCCAAAAGTTTAGGCTCGCTATGTTTCTTGCCTGTGACTAAGCTGTCAAAATTACCTTTGTCTGAAGTGGCATGGAGACACTGGATTTAATTGCTATGATCATGCTCAGTTTTGACAGCTGCAATACCTGCTTCAGGAAGGCAGTTAACAAAAAAGTCAACCGTTAAACATGTTTTCTACAACAGAGACTGCTAAGTTGCTACCTTTCAGCATCCCCAGCTAATTAGATGAGACGAGCTGAAGTTAATTTGGTGGAAAACATTTCTTGACTTAATGACATTTATGGGTAATTAGGCATGTTTTAAGAAAGGGATACACATTTACATCTCAGCTTTATTTCCAGCCCTTAATAAGAACCCACCTCTTTCTCCACTGGAGGTTTGGTATTCTCTAAGGAATGCCTTCAACACAGACAGCACCAGCTCCCCTTGTTATTCTGGAAACCAACAATTGTTTGCATGAAACACAGTAATGAGGCACAGGAAGCTAAAATTAGGCACAGCGATAAAATAAAACAAAACACCTGCCTCTTCACTGTCCTGAAAAGGGCTTTAAGCTATTCTAGAGAAGAAGAAAAGTGAATTTTGGGTTCCTCAAAACATTTTTTTAAAAAATTTGTTCTTCTCCGCTGAAACAGAAATTCTCTCTTATGCTTATGCCAGTTCTTTAACAGAACAGGAATGTTCAAAGTTTTAGATTTTACTAGATTTTTTATTTTAGTAAGCCAGCAGTCGCCAACTTTTCTGGACCAGTGTGTGGGCACATTTTCAGTTTTGAGCAAGTTCTATGGCCCCCAGTCAAAAAACGACTGCTTTGGGTTGTGTGGCATAACACAATGTGGCTGCTGTGAGGGCATGGCAGGATACTAAATTAGCAAGAGTACCATCATGGGTGTTGCCCCGCTCTCTGGAAGACCTCATACTTAGCAAAGGGAGTCAGCTATGCCCTGCTGGTCCCTGTTGTAGAGGTCACAAGCGCAATGATGCTGTCTAACAAAAACAGGGAGCATTCCCCAGTACAACACAGATGCAACTCTCCCTCCCTCCCTCTCTCTCTGCCTTTAAAATTCAACACGTGAAGCTTTCCCCACCTAATAATGCTAAGGCATTGTTAACCAGTAGAATTCCTGCCTACTAGGCAGCAGTTATAGGCATAGATGCCCGGACAGTGACAATGGTAGTAACCCTACTGCCAACTCATATCAAATCTGAATGAGTATTTCCCCCCCCCCCCCCAGAACATGCATCTTTGATTTGATTTTTGCCTAGTGGACTTCAATTTTGTAGAGCTGGCCTAGATAATTCAGTCTGTGTGGATCACCAATATTTTTTTTGGGGGGGAATGAAAAAGCAAAGGCAAGCCAATTGCTGCTTGCCTTGTTCTGCTCTCGGGGGTTTTCTCTGACACAGCCGCATTGGCTGCTGGCCACAGATGGCTGAAATCAGGGCAAAGTCCCAATGTAAACAAGGCCTAAGATCGCTGGCCTGGGATTTGCCTCTTCCAGAAAGTCCTGCTGCTTGAAGTGCCATCCGTCATCTCTGGCAAACTGCAGCGGAATGTTTAAAAATCATTTCCCCCTGGGTCAGAGAAATGATTGAGAAGTTGCAAGGCAGAAATAGGAGGTGGGGGTGGAGACGCAGCCTAATCTTTTTCTTGGTAGTTATTTTTGGGCCTTCCAGATGTTGTTGAACTACAATGTTCATATTTGGCCATTGGCCAGGCTTTGGGGGGCTAATAGGAGTTGTAGTTGTGCAATTTCTGGAGGGCCAAATGTTCCTCACCTTTGCTGTACACACTTACCTAGGAATAAGTCCCACTGAGCTTAATGGGGCATGCTTCTGAGTAGGATTGCACTGGAGTTCAGGGGTTGAATTGTGGCTGATATCTGCTGATCAAAATGAGAGCTCATTAAAAGTGATATTTGGGTATAGGTTGGTGTTAGTGTGTGGTTGCTTATCTTAAAAGGAAAAGCCTTAGTCCTTGTAGTGTCTTAAATATAGGTAACTGGCATCTTACACTGCTTTCACCATGGCACGACACTAAATGGTTACTGTGTAAAATAATATGCGTGGCACTTTTTAGGAATGAATTGGTGCATTTTGTTTCAAGTAAGGGAGGATGACTGGTGCCCAATTCTTTCCAATTACTATTGTTCTATGCAGTCCATATGGGAACAACACCCAGTTCCTGCTTATTGTTGCTGGCCTGAATGAAGTAGGGGGGGGTTGGCTGAAAGGTTTCTACAAAAGCAGAATCTCCTCCCATCCCACAGGTTGCTACTTGGTAATTATTTTGTAACATACTTTCCCCTCTACTATTTGTTTAATGCCACCATAGCTAGGGAACATCCCCATTTATAGATAGTCTCATGTTTGAAATTCTTAATCTGAAATGCTTTATTTGGAACACTTCATTTTAGTTATTTTGTAAGGATGTCTGACTATGGGAAATTATTTTTTGTATTTGTTTTATTTGAAGTGTTTATAGATTTGAAGTGCTTATTGACTGAGAAATAATCAAGTTAACAGCACAATCCTATACATGTCTGCTGGAATAGCTCAGTTGGTAGAGCATGAGACGTTTGATCTCAGGATGGTGGGTTTGAGTCCCACATTGGGCAAAAGATTCCTGCATTGCAGAGAGTTGGACTAGATGACCCTCGTGGTCCCTTCCAACTCTACAATTCTATGATTCTATGTCTACTCCACAGTAATTCCCATTGAGTTCAATGGGACATATACATTCATGTAAATAGATATAGGATTGCAGCATACATCTACCAGAACTGGAACATGAAATAGACTGCAAAGGAGCACTAATCCCCAAGTGGAGATTTCAGTGTTTCTTATTCCTTCTTACATTCAACATGCAATAAACACATTTGTTAAACTATTAGGAAAGGCAGATATATATGGTGTGGGTGGGAAGAACTGTAGACAAAACCCTTCTTCTTTCAGCTCTCTGACCAGTAAGGGGCACTGTTGGTTGTGAGAACTATGGTAATTGGTCAGTAACTGAAGGACCAGTTTTCTTTATGGACTGACTGACTCATAAACACAAACATCAGGTGCTGTTCCCCAAGCTTCAAAATGGAAAATATATACCCGTTCTCACAAGTCACACAACTGTAGGAATCTAATTGTAAATTAATGACATATTTCCAGGTTGCATTGAGATATTCTCAAGATGGTATCAGCAATTACAATTATCATCATTGTGCTTACATTGCATACATTTAAGCATTTAACTGAATCGTTGAATTTAATTAATACTTGAGTCTGCATTTTACCCTTTCCCCTTCTATACTCACATATCTATGGATTTGCTAAACAAGGAAAACACTTTCTGCAGCTGATGAAGTGGACAGTAGTCCATGTAAACTTATGCCATAATGAATTAATTTGTTTTTAAGTTGCTACAAGACTCATTTGTTGTTCACAAGCTGATTTATCACTAAGTATGAATGCCAGTGAAACCTCATTTCTTCCACCTGTTCCACAGTTCAATTTTCTTACAGTCTAATGAGGCTTTCCCCCCCTCTGTCCAATATTTTTATTTATTTATTGAATTTATATACCTCCCTATGCCTGGAAGGGACACGAGCGGCGCTGTGGTCTAAACCACTGAGCCTAGGGCTTGCCAATCAGAAGGTCGGCAGCCAAATCCCCGTGATGAGGTGATCTCCTGTTGTTCGGTCCCAGCTCCTGCCCACCTAGCAGTTCGAAAGCACGTCAAAGTGCAAGTAGATAAATAGGTACTGCTCCAGTGGGAAGGTAAACGGTGTTTCTGTGCGCTGCTCTGGTTTGCCAGAAGCGGCTTAGTCATGCTGGCCACATGACCCAGAAGCTGTCTGTGGACAAACGCCGGCTCCCTCGGCCAGTAAAGCGAGATGAATGCTGCAACCTCAGAGTTGTCCGCAACTGGACCTAATGGTCAGGGGTACCTTTACCTTTACTTTACTATGCCTTGAGGTCTCAGGGGAGTTCACACAATAAAATCAAAATATAAAACTACAAAATACATAATCAAAATAAAGACAACAACCCAATAGCCCCTCCCCAAAACAGAATGTCAGTCAAATCAATCAAATCAAATCAAATCAACCAAAGGCCTGGTTAAAAAGGAATGGTTTTGCCTGGTGCCTAAAAGTGTATAATGAAGTTGCCAGGTGAACTTCCCTGGGGAGAGCATTCTACAGATGGGGAGCCGCTGCAGAGAAGGCCCATTCTTGCGTTGCCACCCTCCGGACCTCTGAAGGATGGAGGCACACAAAGAAGGGCCTAGGAAGATGATCCCAAAGTCTGGGTAGGTTCATCTGGAAAGAGGCAGTCCTTGAGGTATTCCAGTCCCGAACCATTTAAGGCTTTATAGGTCAAAACTAGCATTTTGAATTGGGCCCAGAAACTAATTGGTGGCTGAAGGGAAGTTTTCTTTCTGCATATTTCTGCAGTTCTCTTACTGCACATAACTCTTGCATTCTGGGAAGTCTCGCTCATAATCTTCTCTCTGCTTCTGCACAAGAGTCTGAGAATGTTCTGAACAGTTCCCATTGAGTTCATGAAACAGTGTATCCTGACCTGTTCTTAATGCATTGCTGACCACATTTACGGAACGTGATTGTTGTATTCCTTCATGTTATGTTCTCTCAATATCAATCTTTAGTTATAATTTAATTAGGAGGTTTCATGCCTGTCTAGTTCCAGCTCCGTTTCCCAGTCTTTGAACTATCAGTGATTGATGTCATATGTAATTCCCGCCTTGTACCTATGTTAACCAATCAGCAACAAGATGCTTTGTGTTTGTATCAACCAATCAGCCACAAGCACACCTGTGGCAATGTTTGTAATATTCAATAAAAGAGAGTTCCCGGGGCTTGTCCCGGGCAGACGTCTCTCCTTTGACACCCACCATTCGTCTGTCGTGATTTCAACCCAACATCTGGTGACCCCCGACGTGCCAGATCCCTTACGCAGCCAAACCTCATACTTCACCCGACTGGAAAAGTCTCAGCGCGCTACTTCGTGAGTATGGGAGGGGACTTGACTAAGCTCCAGAAAGAGCATGCTAAAGAGTTGCTTTATTTAGTTAGACAGCGGGAGGTGGGTGTTAATATTTCCTTAAAAGAAATTGAACAATTGCTATGTGAGATAAATTGCCAATGCGTCTTTTATCCAGAGGCTGGATCTTTGGACGTAGAGACTTGGCAAAAGATCGGAAAGACCCTTTTGCAGAACCTAGGGCTCCGATTCATTGTCTGCTCACTTGGCAGAAATGTGCTGATGCCGTTGCTAAATTAGGGCCCCAATTGGGACCCCAGGCGTCTCCTCTTCTGGCCATCGCAGACAATCCCCCCCCTTACCCGAAACTTTTACCTCCTTCTCCTTTGCAGCCCAGCCAATCCCTCCCTGCGTCTCACCCTCCTCGGCCTGCATCCTCCCCCCCCATCCCTCCGCCTCAGCCTGATTCCTCCCCCCCCCATCCCTCCTCCTCCTGCCACAGCCCCTGCTTGCTCTATAGGAGCTGTGCGTGCTGCGCTCTCTCTGGCAAGGCAAAAAGGGCTCCTGTCCTTAGAGGAGGAGTCTGAGTGGCCAGGTGAAATGCCGTCTGCTTTCCCTATCTCTTATTCAAACCCTGGAACTGCTCAACAGCAGATTTATTATGAATCGCTTCCTTATTCTGTAATGAGGGAATTAAGGAAAGCCATTGCTGATTCTGGTCTGAAATCCTCTTATGTGACAGGGATGCTAGAAGGCATAGCAACTGGTTACATTATGCTACCTCAGGACTGGAAAGACCTTATGCGCATGCTTTTGTCCCCTGCTCAGTATGTGGTGTTTGAGAGTGAATTTAAACACAGCGCTTCAGCCCTGTCTGATCCTCAACATACTGCCAATGAACTTTATGGTGCTGGTCAGTTTGCTGATATAACTGCCCAAGCAACACTGACACCTGTACATTTTGTTCGCACCGCGACCTGTGTACAACGCGCCTTTCGGAAAGTCCCTGTTTCTGGGCAACCGCTGAGCTCCTTTGTGAATATTAAGCAACAGCATTCGGAGCCATACCATCAGTTTATAGATAGATTGAAAGAATCAGTCACTAGGCAGATTGATAACACCACTGCTCAAAATGAATTGATGAAAAATTGGCCTTTGAAAACGCAAACACTGATTGCAAGAAAGCTTTGCAGTCAATCATACATCGCCCTAAATATGAACTGGCCGATATGATTCAAGCTTGTGCGGATGTCGGTAGCCAGAGCCATGCGATGTCCTTGCTTGCCGGCGCAATCCAAGCAACCACTAAGCCTACTGGTAACTGCTTTAATTGCAAGCGCCCAGGCCATTTTGCCAAGCAATGCAGAGCCCCAGGCGGGGGGCACACAAGGATGGTTCTGCCTCTAAGGCTAAACCTTCTAAAAATGCCCGAAATGTGGCAAAGGCTATCATTGGGCTAATCAATGCAGGAGTTCGGAAACTCCATCCCGGCCTCGCTCTCAGGCCAGGAAAATTAGAGAGCCCAGGAAAATTAGAGAGCTTTCCGCCTTTAATTTCTGCTGCTGCAAACTTTTCAAAGAACACACCCTCTGAATTTGCAATTGATTTGATCAATCAAGAGACCAAAGATTCTGTTCTACCTGGTGAAATTGTGCTTATGCCCACTCAATTGGCAGGTCCCCTGCCTCCTAAGGTCGCAGGTTTAATTTTACCCAAATTTTCTGCGGCAAAGGAAGGCATCCAGGTTATTCCTGGAGTTCTGGATCCTGACTATGTAGGCACAATAATGGTTCAACTCTGGAGCCATATGCCCATGCGATTCAAAATGGGTGAGTCTTGGGCGCATTTGGTGGTGCTACCTTCTCATCCTACTGCTTCTATTATGGATACTAATTTGCACGAGCTCTCTTCTTTCCCTCCACAGCTGTTAGCTGTAGTCCAGAGGATTGGTGAGAAGAAACTTCTTCGTAAGTATAAAATCAATGGTATTGTGCTGGAAGGCTTGATTGACACAGGCGCAGACGTTTCTGTAATTTCTAGTAGTTGCTGGGACCCCACGTGGCCCCTTGAGTCTGCCTCTGCTGTCTGGGGTGTGGGTGGCCCCCAAACCTCTTCCAAAAGCGTACAGTGGCTGCCTGTTTCTCTGCCTGACAGCTCTGAAACCATTGCTTACATCCAGCCCTGTGTGCTGAAAATCCACCTCAATCTGTGGGGAAGAGACTTGCTACAACAATTACAAGCTACCATTCAATTTAATGAGTAAGCTTGCACTTCCCTCAACTGGAAATCTTCTGGTCGTGTCCTGGCTATACGTTTAATTACATTCCAGCAAACATCAGCCATGGCACACCTTGCTGTTTAAGCCGTTTGTCCATCATTTTACCGCTGCAATACTGAATTGACTAATGATTGTGATGCTTTTGTCTCTCTTCTCAGTAGGTTTGAATATATCTCTTTAGTTGCTTCTCTCTTAGGAATCCCTGGATTGGCTGTACGGAATCGTGTGAACATTACTTTTTTAGCTTGTTATGCAGCAAAAACTCTGAATTATATTTCACAAGCCCTTCACCTTTTGAATAAAGAACAGTGCACTCCACAATGGACTTTTACAAAATCCTTTTACAAAATGGACTTTTACATTATATAACCCCTTTTGAATAAAGAACAGTGAACTCCACTATGGACTTTTATGAAATCGTGCTGCTATCACTATTTGCTCATGCTTCATCATTATGGCTGTGAACAAGTGAATGACATGTGTTGTTTCAATATTACTGATAATTCTGAAGAGCCATTCAAAGCCAAATCTCTCATTTGCAAAATCTTACACATCACATTAAACAGGACGTTGGATTTTCTGGCCTCTGGGATTCTTTCACCCAGTGGCTTACTGCTTGGCTGCCTAACCTTACTTGGCTTCGTAGTCTCTTTCAATATGCTATTTTCATAATTTCCATTTTTATTTTACTATGCTGTTTCCTCCAATGCGTTCCTAGCCTCATGAGTCTTTTCTCTCGGCTTCTCTCCCCCCCTCCACCACCCAGTAAACTCCTTGCTGCTTACATTGCGAAATGGCAACACCAACAGTAAACCTTAGGGGAGATGTGGGCGGATTTATTTTGGGCATGCGCTGGCAAACCACGTATCCTGAAGTACTTTTGTCCCATCGACCCTGGCAGGCTTATTTCGGGCATTCGCTGGCACACCACTAATCCCGAAGTATTTTTGCCTTATCCACCTGGAATGCCTCGCAAACAAGAAAAGAAAGGGGGAGATGAAGGGAAGTTTTCTTTCTGCATATTTCTGCAGTTCTCTTACTGCACATAACTCTTGCATTCTGGGAAGTCTCGCTCATAATCTTCTCTCTGCTTCTGCACAAGAGTCTGAGAATGTTCTGAACAGTTCCCATTGAGTTCATGAAACAGTGTATCCTGACCTGTTCTTAATGCATTGCTGACCACATTTACGGAACGTGATTGTTGTATTCCTTCATGTTATGTTCTCTCAATATCAATCTTTAGTTATAATTTAATTAGGAGGTTTCATGCCTGTCTAGTTCCAGCTCCATTTCCCAGTCTTTGAACTATCAGTGATTGATGTCATATGTAATTCCCGCCTTGTACCTATGTTAACCAATCAGCAACAAGATGCTTTGTGTTTGTATCAACCAATCAGCCACAAGCACACCTGTGGCAATGTTTGTAATATTCAATAAAAGAGAGTTCCCGGGGCTTGTCCCGGGCAGACGCCTCTCCTTTGACACCCACCACTCGTCTGTCGTGATTTCAACCCAACAGGTGGCCAGTGCAGTTGGACAAGGATTGGTGTAATATGTTCAAACTGTTTTGCTTTGGTGAGCAACCTGGCTGCTGAATTCTGCAAAAGCTGAAGTTTCCAAATCGTCTTCAGAGGCAGTCCTACATATAACACATTGCAGTAATCTAAGCTTGATGTTACCAGAGCATAGACAACAGTAGTTAGGCTATCCCTGTCCAGATAGGGGCGTAGCTGGGCTACCAGCCAAAGCTGGTGGAAGGCACACTGGGCCACGGAGGTCACCTGAGCCTTGAGCAACAGCAAAGGATCCAGGAGTACCCCTAAACTACGAACCTGCTCCTTCAGAGGAAGTGTAACCCCATCAAGAGCAGGCGATCTGCCACCCATCCTGTCTAGGGAACTACCCACTAACAGTGCCTCAGTCTTATCTGGATTGAGTTTCAGTTTGTTGGCTCTCATCCCGTTCAATACCAAGGCAAGACACTGGTCCAGCATTTCCACTGCCTCACCTGCAGATGTAAAGGAAAAATAGAGCTGAGTGTCATCAGCATACTGCTGACAACATACTCCAAACCTCCAGATAACCCCACCCAGCAGTTTCCTGTAGATGTTAAACAATGTGAAGGATAGGACTGAGCCCTCGGAACCCTACCTTGAAGGTTCCATGGAGCTGAAAAACATTCCCCAAGCAACACCCTCTGGGAATGACCATCCAAGTAGGACTCAAACCACCTCAAAGCAGTGCCCCCCAACCCTAGTTCAGAGAGTTGCTCCCAAAGGATACCATGGTCGATCGTACTGAAAGCCACTGAGAGGTCAAGAAGAATTAAGATGGACATGTTTCCCTTGTCTCTCTCACGACAGAGGTCTTCATACAGGGCAACCAAATCAGTTTCTGTGCCATAACCGGGGCTAAACCCCGATTGAAATGGATCCAGAAAATGAGTTTCTTCTAATAGTGCCTGGATCTGGTCTATTTGTAATGAGAGCCAAAGTGATCTCTCCTGGTAGTTTGTGTGCAGCATCATTTCAGAACTGATATGTACACAAGCAAACATTCCAAAAAAAGTACAGCTGCCATCTTCAAACAACTCCCAAGTATTAAATTAAATTCCACGGAGTCCCTAAGTTTCTTGGAGGATATGAAAAAGAACAAGAAAGCTGCTCTTGTCTTACAACTATCTCTCTTTCTCCTTTGATGCACTTGTTGATATACTTCCCTATATATTATTGCTTAATAGTTCATCTGCAAACATATAGATGATTGTAACATGCCACACCAACATTTAAGTAGTGCAAGATTCCAGGTGCTTACCAGGTTTGTTTTTCCACTGGGAATGAGGCATAGCAGACTGTGGTGTCTTTATGATATATGGTTTGTTTACACATATATACAACTTGAGCCTAGGATGGAGGGGCTCACAACATTAACATCCCAATAAGGTCTTGCTTCTCCCATCCAAAATCACGAAAGTCTCTCCTTCACAAGCTTCAGCCTGCAGCCTGCTTCCAGCTTCCAGCTCTCTCACACAACTCGGCTCTGGCTTTTGTCCTTCTAACTATCAGCTAGTTGAGGTGGGGGCCACCCATTTGTTCCCTGGCACAGAGCCACTTCCTTTGTTACCTTAACGACCCATACTTAGCCCATTACCTCACTAAGAAGCTGGCTTGGCTATTCCAGCAATTGAATCCCTGCTGGATCCTGGAATTAGAAGAGGATTCAGGCATATAGCCTAACACCCCCCCTAAATTATATTACATGGGCCCCTTAAGTTCCCTGGATGAAGAGAGAAAGAAAGAGAAAATCTGCTCTTGTCTTATGACTCCCCTCCTCTCTCCATGTATACACTTGCTGCTGTGCTTCCTTAAATCTTACTTGGTAATTGTTTATTTGCAAACATGTAGATGATTCTAAACATACAACAGTGTGATGCTATGCACACATAATCTCACCAAGTTTTGTATTTCTGCAAACTGTGCCATCCCGTGCCTTGTGCATGTGTCCATGCCCACAGAGTCATATTGGCTATATTAAGCAAAGACACTCACAGCCTGAACACTGAAACTAGAGGGAATGGTATGTTCTGCTTTATGCACCTTTAGTGGAATTTAGGTATAAACAACTTGGCATTCAATCAGCTTGACTGGAAAGGTACTTACCAGCTTTGACAAATCAACTATGTCAGGCTGGATGTGCTGCCTATAACCCAGTGTCTATCAACTATCACCATTCAAAAAACATAGCTTAGGATATATATTGGATAATTATTTATCAGCAATCTAGGAATAAAGCTATGGGGGGGGGAGTAAAGATGTTCTGTAAATATGTCAAACAGATCTGGATCTAGTTTGCATGCAAGTATGACTTTTTAACTGGCAATGAAAAAGTTAAAACTGATAACTGATTCATGAATTCTTCCTTTTTAAAAAGTGTCCTATTAAAATGCAGATGCAGCTTGCCATTTGCAAAGCACATGGTTATTTCAGATTTGGTATGGGAATCCTTTCTAAGTGTATTTGTATCTTTTGGCTGGAGAGTCCAGCTGTCTCTTATAGGCTTGCACGTATCGCTTCAGATGTCAGCAAATCATTGAAAAGTGTCAGAAAGCGGGAAATGAAAGATAATTACCCAAACTGTAGTGAGCTACTTTGAAAATGAATAGGATCTGTCAGATAGTCCTTTGAAAGCAAGGAGCTAGCTGCCTGAACCGAACATATTAAATGGATATATCGAGAGGCAAGTAATGTTGCTTTAGATTTTGATAATCAGCATGTGCTGGGTATTTGGGAGAGAGAAGCACAGAATGGCAGAGAATATCTAGAGGCAGATATTTAGGCATGTGATGTCTAGTATTGTTCAACATACACAAAGATGTTTTTGCTCTTTATCTTTAAGAATACAGAGTGGGCCAGTTATGGACTATAGAGGTGGTGATGCTTTCCTCTCCAGAATTTTAGACACTTTATTGCCTCCTATAAACATTACACACACACACCCCACACACATACAGTGGTTAGCTTTTAGAGCTTGTTCCCATTCTTCCTTTTCCCCTTAAAATGTCATGAGTAGAGAAAGAGGAAGAGGCAAGGAAGAAGAGACAGACCCTTAGCTAAGCTTTCCAACCATCTCATTAGGTCAGAGGTGGATAACTTCCAATGCAGGGTCCTGATCTAGCCCAGCTTTCTGCCTCCATTCTATATCAGGGTTGGGAAAGCTGTGCTCCTGCAGAGTTGTTGGACTCCCAACTCCCATCAGCCCCAGACATCCTTGGCCAGTGGCCAGAGATGATGTGAGTTGTTATCCAGCAACATCTGGAGGGACAGAGGTTCCCCAGCCCTGTTCTATATGCACATGGCTGTTTGGACCATGCCTCTTGCTGGACAGGATTCAAGGTTCACTGCCAGGCAGTGATGGCAGATCTCACAATGCAGTTCCAGGTAAGAGGACTCGATTCTAGTTATTTTCCTACTCTCATCTCCAACAGTTAATCTGGATGGTTTGAGTGGGCCACTGTCTTTATTTTATATCTATGGGTAGTATTCAACTTTTACTCAGAGCTGTTGGCATCAAGAGACAATGGATTGCGCCTCTGGGGGTGAAACCAAACTACTGTGTTAGCAGCGCTGAAGTGACCTCCCCAGGACACAAACATGGGCAATGGGTCTGGAGATCCTGGGCTGCCCAGACAAGACCCCCTTGCTTGGCCTTGCTGATGTGGTCCAAAGGAAAGCAGAGCAATACATTTGGCACCAGCTTGGCTGCAGGAGTTGCTGGGAGGAGGCATACAAGATGCCATTCAACCACCTTAGGGACTCCACTAGGGTTTACTTCTTAGTCTTTTCATCTCTCCCAAGATATCCCACAAGGCAGCTGAGGTTTAGGATCAAAATTTTCCTTCTCCTAGATGGGCAGTCTTGCCAGGTTGATGAACCCCATCTTCCTCTTCCTTCCTTCTACAGCACATGCAGAAACCGCTTTCTTGACTGTTGGATCCACTATTAGTCTTGTGTGCTCAATCTACCAGAGGCTGTCTTCACATTCAAGGGACCTCCCTAACTTACTGAGGGTTTGAGACCATTGGCTACCCTCACCTGGTTTAGCCAGCCAGCCAAAGCCATTTCCTGGGGTGCGGCCACTGCCGCTTACTGACAGCTTCTAGGAGTCACAGGTGAGAGCTGATTGCAGAGTGGGGACCAGAGGTAGACAAACTACCCCAGAAAGAGCATGACCTGTCCCTCACCAGAGGCACTACTCCTTTCCTAACACCCCATACACCCCTTACTTGTAGATCCATTGAAATGAATGAACATGACTAAGTCGCTTCCATTAAATGAGCCTATTCTGAGTAAGTTAAGTATCATAAAAAAAATAGGGTGCTAGTCAGCTAACTGGAAGCCTTTTTCAGCATTAAGAAGTGCATGTGTATCTTTAAAAAACAGAGTAGTATTGTCCTGTTTTACTAATGCTTGTCCACTGAATTAGCTGACATTCAAGCTTAAATTTTATTGATGTAAAAGTAAGTCAAAAACATGCTGCATTTCAATGAATTGATTTGTTTTTGGAGGCTTGATTTAAATATCTGAAAAGAACACAAAACAAAACAAAGGAATTGAAAATGAGTGAAGTTTTAAAAAGAGAACAGATCCTTGTCGCTGAGGAGATGTGTAGCTTCTCCAGGGAATTTGGTTACTGCATAATCCCTGCGACCAGGAAACAAGGCGCGTCAACCCAGAAGGAAGCGGAAAGTAAGAAAAAGGAAAACGTGTCTCAGAGAAACAAATTCCTAGAACTCTTCTTATGCTAAGTATGCCTTTTGCTGCTCGCCTTCAAAACTCATTTTTATATTCAACTACTGAGGCTAGGTCTCATTTTATTTGTTTAGTTACATTCATAATATAATATTCATAATATTCACTTTCATAAAAATGTGCCAAGGCGGTAGACGACATATAAGAATAGAAGCATCAATACAAGGCTTCCATAAAAAACATCAGTAATTCGATTGATGGATGAAAAAGAGAAAGAATCACATTAGCACAGGCATGTCTAAACAATACAGTTTTCAAAATTCTGAAGGAATAGGCTGACAGGACAATTCCACAGGGCAGGGATCTCTCACACTAAACACTTGGTCCCTAGTGAAGGCCAACTGAATCTTAGGGACATGAGGAACTTTTATTGGGGTATATAGGCATGCGTGGTGCGTATTCCCATCTATCAATGCTGATTATTATTTTTTAAATATATGTATATAGCCTGTCGGGTTTAGTCTAATGGTTAAATGGTTAAATGTGCAGGGCTGGCTCCAAGCTTAAGGGGACCTTTAGCATGAGGCCCATTTTTGGTGGGGGCCAAACACTGGCTCTCTTGCAGTAAATATAAAAAGGTAAAGGGACCCCTGACCATTAGGTCCAGTCATGGCCGACTCTGGGGTTGCGGCGCTCATCTTGCTCTATAGGCCGAGGGAGCCGGCATTTGTCCGCAGACAGCTTCTGGGTCATGTGGCCAGCATGACTAAGCCACTTCTGGAGAACCAGAGCAGCACACAGAAACACCGTTTACCTTCCCACTGGAGCGGTACCTATTTATCTACTTGCGCCTGACGTGCTTTTGAACTGCTAGGTGGGCAGGAACTGGGACCGAACAACGGGAGCTCGCCCCGTCGCAGGGATTCGAACCGCCAACCTTCTGATTGGCAAGCCCTAGGCTCTGTGGTTTAGACCATAGCACCACCCGCTTTATAGTAGTGTTAAACCATGTGACATGCATTTACTTTATCACTTTAGCCACAAATATTCCTTGTTTCAACTGCAATCAAGCTGAGAGGTAGTTCACAGATTTTTGCAACATATTGAAACTCCGCTTTTGATATGCAGCTGTAAAAATCTAAAAACACACTTCAGTAAAAGAATATTCTGCAGTGTTGTGTGTGTGCGTGCACATGCACATGCACACACAACTGGAAACATGGCCATGCCTCGTACACACGTGTAACATTCTCCTGGAGCAAGGAAGGGAAGCCCATCCTCTGATTGTAGGTGAACTTTTTTTCTTAACAAGGAGCACCTCTTCCCATCCAATATCCTATTTGTGGGGACCTCAAAGAAAAGGGTAAAACTCATCATATAACAACTCTTGTAATTGTATCTAGCTCAGGTTGAAGACTAACGAGGTCCTTTGTACTAATGGCAGGAGATAATTAGCACTTACACAATGCTAATCTTTTTAGAATGAAACTTGTTACACTGATACCTTGAAAAGCGTGGAAGTGTGGCTAATACACTTTAGCAAACTGGAGATGCCAGGGTCATAAAAGAGACGTTAGCTGAGCTTAAACAATTAACACCAGTCATATCCCCACAAGTCAGCTCAGATTCATATTAGTCTTCATTAAAAGGGTTAGTCTTTAACTGGATTTGCAATTCCTCTTAACTAGATGGTCCTTTCAAAGGCTGCTGCAAAGCAAACACTGCACCGCCAAAGATACATTAACCTTATTTAGAAAGTTTCATTTATTTCACTGAGATGAGTTGTTCTTTAGATTCCCTTCCTCCCCCCGCCCACTCCTTTATGAACTGCCATTCAGGTAATGGAGCATTGTGAGTGGCTTCTTCAGCTCAGAAAATTATTTGTAAGGCTGTGGCAGACTTTGGACATCCCAGTTGGCAATGAGGAGAAAGGGCTGCTTGTTTCTGGGGTGGCAAGAGAAAAGGCTGGTGCAGGTGGTGAACCATCAGTAAAACATTGTTGGAAGGGAAGCTTGCAGGTGCTAATTCTGCAAATGGATGTGTACTTCCTGGACTGAGCACAAGCTAAAGATGCCTGCCAATACACAACAGAACGGCACTGTTGCCTTATGAGTGAATAAAAAAAGATGTTTCAATGCTGTCGTCGGATCTCGACGATTTGCCACGGAGGACAAAAAGTCTCCTATAAAATTTGATTTAAATAGTCCTATCTCACTTGCGCCCTTGGTGACCAGATTCAATTGTGCTGGTGTCTCCTATGCAGTATGATATCATAGCTTCAGAGGAAGGCTTTCTTTGGAGGTCACATTAGTTTGTCCTGGGGATGCAATCATTTTTGTGTCATGGACAATGTTTTACTGTGAAGATATGGGCCAGATGGCTCAGTCACTTGCAGTCCAGAGCTAAACAGGCTCTTTATTGTTGGGGAATAAACAGAACCGATTGTCTCTTGCTCATGAAACTCTAGTGCCCGTCACTGTTTAAACATGAGCTATTAAATTTCCGTGCCTTGGTGAGAATATGCAAAACAACCAGGGGACAGCCATGAGCTTTGAAAATATGTAACCTATGTATTTTTTATTTATCCATTTTTAGTTAAGATCCACCAGGCCTCCAATATCCCCTTTACCTGTGACGTGAGGGCAGCTGTAGAGATGGTGTCAACTAGTAGCCAGGGATAGCTCTATCACTAGGCAGAGTGAAGCCTTCACCTCAGGTGACAGACGCTGGAGGCATCTCTCCCTCTGGGCATTCCCCTCTCTTGGAGATCAAGCACTCCCAAATTCAAGTGCAGTGGGTCATGTCATTCAGCTTCTACTGTTGAAATAAGTTCACCTGCCATTCCACAAAGTTGGAATGTACAAACATGTCAAATGTTTAATCTACAAACATGTCAAAACAAAATAAAACCAATAGATTGTTCTTGTTGTTTTAAATGCAACAATTTATACACAGCAAAATAAAGCAACAATTAAAATAATTCCACTGTAGATTAAAAATGTAAAACATGATCAGCCTAAGAAAATAAGAAAGGCTTTGCCTGGTGTTGAATGGCCAGAAGAAGAAGAAGAAGAAGAAGAAGAAGAAGAAGAAGAAGAAATTAGAAGAGTCAGCTATCTCTCTCACGGGCCTACAATTCCCAGAGTTACCTAGTAAGAAGGACTGACAGTTAAACCACACCGAGGACTGTAGTTTTGTGGGGGGTATAGGGGTCTCATAACAACATGCAACACAACATGTGTCTGTGGCACCCAGGCACCCAAAATTCCATGCCCACTGAGCAGCCACAGATATCATCAGACTATTCTGGGGAGCAGTCCCTCACCTCCCAGATTTTTTATACTTGTGCAAAAAATAATAATAAATGAGGTTCTTGCAAGCCAGCTGATACCTTCCTCCTCAGGCCCTCTGAGAACTGAGATTACTGTTAGTGATGCCTTTCAGGTCAAAATTGGACACCAGCATCACATTTTAGAACATGGGTAGGCAAACTAAGGCCTGGGGGCCGAAGTCGGCCCAATCGCCTTCTAAATCCGGCAAGCGGACAGTCTGGGAATCAGCGTGTTTTTACATGAGTAGAATGTGTCCTTTTATTTAAAATGCATCTCTGGGTTATTTGTGGGGCATAGAAATTCATTCATCCCCCCCAATATAGTCTGGCCCCCCACGAGGTCTGACTGGAAAAGTTTGCTGACCCCTGTTTTAGAAGTACAGACAGCGGCATAGTTAGCCGCCTGGGCTTTAAAGCCCAGGGAAACAGGAGTGCAGGGTCACTCAGCTCTCCCCAGTCTAGTGAATGTCCCGCCTCACACCAGCAGCTTAGCTAGCCTCTCAGGCACCCACACAGGGGGAGGGATGAGATGCCATGGGGCAGAGCTAGCTGCCCATGGGGGGAGGCAAGCCACCCACTGGGTGGGGCAAGCCGGGGCAGGGGTCAGCCGCCTCCCCCTCGGCTGGAGGGCGGCCATGGCCGGGAGGGAGGTGGTGGCTGGGGCGTCCTGCAGGCCGCACGCCTCACGTGCCCCATGCCACGTCTGTGCTGCATTTGCAGGCAGTGCTGGGCCTGGAGGGTGCGCTGCAGCCCCCATGCCGCCCGTGGCACCCTGCCCCCTTCCACCACGACCGAGTACAGAATAAATCAATTCCCTTGTGAAGTGTGACTTAGCCATTTTATCATGTACAGTGGTACCTCAGGTTACATACGCTTCAGGTTACATACGCTTCAGGTTACAGACTCCGCTAACCCAGAAATAGTGCTTCAGGTTAAGAACTTTGCTTCAGGATGAGAACAAAAACCGTGCTCTGGCGGAGTGGCGGCAGCAGGAGGCCCCATTAGCTAAAGTGGTGCTTCAGGTTAAGTACGGACCTCCGGAACGAATTAAGTACTTAACCTGAGGTACCACTGTATGCTGAAACTGTTTAACAAACTGATGTTTTAAAAGGGTGGTTCCCAAACTTTTGGTGGCCACCGCTCCCTTGGTTCTATAAACTCATCCCACTGTATAAAAAGCACTATTCAGAACAGCAGCAGTTGGCACAACCCACTAAGGAAGATAGTAACACAATAAAATTCAAAGTAGTAACAATTAACGGCACATTTTTTTCAAAATCCAATTAACACTATTTGACAAAATTGATGAACTTTTTCCAGTGATAACAGCTTTTCAAAGTCTGTTAGTCATTTACATCTTCAATGCCTTCCACCTGCCTGCCTCTTAGTACTTCCTGAGTAATCCCACCCCCCTTCCAGGAGGTGGTACGGCCCACTTTTGGGGCCACTGTTTTAAGGAGTTGCTTTTAAATTGCTGTGTTTATACTATATGCTTAGTTATTAGAAACTTTTTAATTTTTTTATTTACTTTTATTTTTTGCTTCGGAAACATTTCATGGGGAAATGCTTTATACATTCTGAATAAATATCCTCTTCTCGTAGTTTTGGTGTGTTGTGGTGGCCTGATAATATAGTTGGAAAAATTGTGATAACAAATAAATTGATTGGGCTAACTACGGATAAGTAAAATAGTAATCTCTTCTTTCTCCCTCAGCTATTTTCTAAATAACTGTTATAAGATGGTTGTGTGCAATCTCACATTCTCAGCCTTGGCAGCCACTGGCTCACAGAATTCCCCCCCCCCCCCGCCATCAAGAAAGCATGATAACAGAAACTTTCACGTATAATACTTTCCTGTTAGGGTTTTTGTTTTCAGGCAGTCAGAGCTCTGAGTGTGTATGTGTGTCTGCCCCCATCTGTGACTCTTTCTTTCTGTGCAATGTCAAAAGTAGTTCTTCCTTTCTTTAATTGCACCCAAAGCCAACCTTGACTGGCAAGGAGAAAGTCACTGACAGGTTTGGGCTCAGTCCAGACCTTCTCAGAGATCCTGTCAGCTGGCTGTTTGACAGCATGCAAATTTATGCAAATACAGGGGCAGTGGATGAACACCTGCAGAAAGTGACCATCCCCCGGTCCTTCTATGCTGTACCGCCTGTGTAACTGTGGTTTTCTCCCCCCCCCCCTTCTGAAATCTTGCTTGGTCTCTGTCAGTTTATTATGCATTTGTCAGCAGAATATGGGGCGAAAAGGAACTGCGCTCTTCTTTGTCCTGAGGAGCAACAAAGCTCCATGTGGAACTGCAAGTGCCAGGAATGGTGAAATGGCTTCTGTTCAGCCCTTGTGAATCTGACTTTCTGTCTTCTGGACCTTCACTTCAGCGTTTGAACTCATGCTGGGTTATCCATGTCAAGGAAAGGCTTCTGTTTTCCTGGGAGTAAAGGCATCCTCTTAGCTGAGTCGTTGCAAAATGAGAGGGCTCATTTGAGCAAACTGAGCAGCTGGAACTTTGGGGCTTTTTTAAGAGCACTGTATGAGCTGCATAAAATCTGCATGCGATTTGCATCATCTAGCCAAGGAGGAGAGGCAGCAGGCTGATGTGCTAAACTAAACTATTTGACACGTATCTCACAAGACAACAGGGTGTGAAGCTGCATCTTTAACAATTTGTCGTTTAGGGATACTTTGTCCAGGAATTGTTTTGGTAGTATCTGCACAGTTGTTGTTGTTTTTAATTAATAACAGATGGATTTCTTGAAATTGTAAAAGACCTTTGATTTTTTTTTTAAAAAATACAATTTTAACCTCCACCTCTGGATGCCTAGAAATGTTAATGGCAAATTAACTCTGCCCTCCTTAAAAAAATGTAATACACAGAGATTAATGTTGTATGTGTATGTCACACATCTAGGGAGTTACTAAAGGCAATAAAAGAAGGTTGACCTATTAGTAGTAGTAGTAGTAATAATACTATATTAGTAATATTACGCAGCATCCATAGCAGACACAGTGCTTTACAGTGTGTAGCCTAAGCAAGAAAGACGGGTTGGAGGACTCTGTTGTCTAAATGTAAATATGCAGATGAGACAACAGACGGAATGGAGAGGAGGAAAATCAGATAAAATGTACCAAAAGGAAAAATAAGCTTTGAAAGGGCATCAAAAGTGTAACACGTGTTATGAATAGACTCTGTGAGAAAAACTAGAGAATTATCTGTAACTAATTATCTGTCAATTTTGGTCCACTTGGTTTCTCATTTTCCCAATCTTAAATGCAGTTCTTCACATTTATGCCACAATTTGTGATATTTTTGAATGAAAATCATACTGAAAATTCATCAACATTTTAGTGTGAATTTCTTATAATAAATGCAGCTTTATATGCAGTTTTGACAAATATACAGTGGTACGTCGGGTTACAAACACCTCGGGTTACAAACACTTGGGGTTACAGACTCTGCTAACCTGGAAGTAGTACCTTGGGTTAAGAACTTTACCTCAGGATGAGGACAGAAATTGTGCGCCAGTGGCGCAGCGGCAGCAGGAGCCCCATTAGCTAAAGTGGTACTCAGGTTAAGAATGGTTTCAAGTTAAGAAAGGACCTCCGGAATGAATTAAGTTTGTAACCAGAGGTACTACTGTACACAGTTTTGCAAACAATTACCCCTAGTATATTGATTTTTTTGTATGTTGGTTTAACTAATATGTTTGTTTTTTTGTACACTTTCCCCTAATACAGTGGTACCTCGGGTTACATACGCTTCAGGTTACATACGCTTCAGGTTACAGACTCCGCTAACCCAGAAATAGTGCTTCAGGTTAAGAACTTTGCTTCAGGATAAGAACAGAAATCGTGCTCCTGCGGTGCAGCGGCAGCAGGAGGCCCCATTAGCTAAAGTGGTGCTTCAGGTTAAGAACAGTTTCAGGTTAAGTATGGACCTCCAGAATGAATTAAGTACTTAACCCGAGGTACCACTGTGTATGCATTTTTGTAAACCTGTATTAGAAAAGTGCATCACAAAATTCAGACAAGTGCAAATTTCAAAGGACGGCTCTGCTGCAGTGCTCATATTGTTTTGAAAAGCGCAATTTTGCTTGTCTCCTGAGACAGATGGATGCCTACCAACAATTTTGATAGATTCATTGTTAAACTTAAACTGAATCATTCTCCCACCCTTTTAACCCAACTCCAAAATTCAGAAACCTCTTTGAATCAGAGTTTAAGGGGGGGGGCTTTTATTTTAATAAAAAAACTATCAACAACTAGTCCAACAAGCTCTGAGGGACAGTTGCCTTGAAATAGTCTGGTTTTGAGCTAGGACTCACTACACATTTACTAAAGTAATGCTCTAAATAAATGCTTTCTTCTTTTTGGGATGCTAACCAGCCCTAGTCCTTAGTTTAGAAGTCAGCTACCCCTCAGAGACAGCCTGTTATATACCACATATTCCATAGCACCCAGTGTAAAGATCCTCATACAAAATATTTACTATTTACTAGTGGTCATTGGCCCACTTTTGTCAACAATTTGTTTAAGCTATTTAAAAACATAAGGTGCTGGTAAACATAATCCACTTTCCTAACAGAGAATATAAAGGTGACTACATCTCTTTTTAGGCAAATAGCTTGAGAATTTCTAGTAGAACAGAGATGTTTTGAAGAAGCAGATCTACATTGTTATCTACTATTACTCTGTTACTTGGATATAATCAAGAACAGAACCACTAAATTCACTGGTACATCTCCTCTTTGCTATACTCATCCTAAGTGAACTGTGAAGGATCCGACAGATTCCAAAATCCATATTAGAGAAATGCTTTTATCAACAAAAATATCACAAAACAGGGTATAATCTTTTGGGTTCTCCAGAATTCTCAAATCAGGCTAGATGGTAAGAGGAGTAACACAGGGGGGAGAGATTCAAATTGCCTAGTGTTGAAGCCACGGAGTCTGCAGCTGATCAGTCTTAAGATGGAATATGGGGAGCAAAAAGTAGCAGACATTCAAACATGGTTCTTTAGGTGCTATGCAGGTATTTGGTTGTACCAAGGCCTACAGGGATCAAGAAATACAGGCAACTCCACACCTGTGCATGACCATGTGGCAACGAGAACCCAGAAGTGGTGAGAGAGAGCAGGAAAGTCTGAGGCTTACGAGGAGACCCTCCACAGAGTCTGAAGAAAACGTCTTCTTCAGGATCTGGAGAGAGACTCCTCATGAGCCACAAGGACTCTCCCCAGTTATGCACGTTTCACTTATGCGCTCGGGAGCCTGGAATACAACCCACGTGTAAGTGGGGAGTCTCTTGTCTAACAATGGCTGATTCCCCATCTCTGAAAATAAAAGTACTAGTTGCTACCCAAGTCTATCTCCTTTTTAGGCAAAACATACAGATTCTCCGATAGGCAGAAAATGAGCATCAAGAGAAACTAGCTAGTCCTTATATTAGCAAAGGCACAAAGTAATTTTGGTAGCTGTGCCTAGGTAAAAAGTAAACAAGTTGGGTAGCTATACTTAGCAGTTGGAGAGAATGTTCCCTAACAGAAGGCAGTCCCCATCTTGAGGTGATGTAAAATCGCCTTTCTCCAGTTTAGGATCTCCCTGTTGAATGGCCATATGACAGACAGATGTTAACCTTATGCAAACAAAGTGGCCCAGCAGAATTTCAACAAGGCCATTGAGACTGAGAGGACTCTTGAGAAGCTCCACAGGACAAAGAAAACCTTGAAAGAATGCACATGTCCAGGCGTGGACTCTCTCTCATTCTTTCCATAAAACATGGCCGTCAATTTACTGCTTTGCTTGCAGGAGGACGGCCACTGTTGGAATTCAGCCCTGTGTCAGAGAATGAAGAAAGCAAGTTCTAAAGATGGCATTATTCAATACATGTCAGTTCTAAAGCGTGAAACATTTTATTATTCAGCATAAATCAGTTCAGGTGTAAACTGACTGAACCAATAAACAAGAGTTTTGCAGTTAAAAAAGAAAATCGGGTTTTTCTGTATTTTTTTTCTTTTCATTTTGCAGACTGGGAGGAAGAACCGATCTACCAGCTGAATTTCTTCACCATCTATTGACAAATACAGTTTAAGAGAGCCCACTGTTTGCCTTTAAAAAGGGAAGAAAGGAGAAGATACAGAAAATGTTTCTTGATGCTGGCTCTCTCTCTCTCTCTCTCTCTCTCTCTCCCACATTGTGAAGCTGAAGGTAGTTGCATTTAAGCAGCTGAATGTGCTTTCACTGCTGCTGCTGCTGCTGAAGGGCTGTGGTCACTCAGGCAGCAGTAACTTTGAAAAAATGACCCGTCTACACCCAAACAATAACAGAATCCCCCTTTCTATGTTGGCAACGCCCACGGCTTTCTGTTCATTTCAAGACTCCCCACGTAGATGCAACTGTTTGACCAGCCTTCTTCTGAACAACTTAATTAAGCAAAAGAAAAAGTGTCAGTTACTGCCAACCTCCGAAAAACAGAGCTGTGGGGGTAAAAAGGGGAGGCTGCATTAACCTACATTCCTTAACCGGTTAACTAAAAGGAAAGCTTTGCTTTATAGTGGTGCCAGGAATATTCTAACACCAGCTAGCCATTCAGATGATCAAGACATATTGTTTTGTACATCACACCAAACACAATTAAGAGCTTGCAGCAACCTGTGTCTTAACAACTGGTATTAGTGTGATCCTGAGAATTACCAAATCTTTGTCAGCACACAGCACGGACCCTGTCTCCCCCGCTCCCACCCCCCATTCATTTCGAACTATCCTAAGGAGACCAAACAGATTTTTAAACTCTTTGAAACTGGAAAGGTTTTTAATTCTCTCCATTCTCCTTGCACCAGCGGCATCATGGGAAATCTCAGTGTGGGAGATTTGCTCCTGACGTTCACAGGGGCTGGTGGGATTGGGGGATATGCCATCCTTATATGGCAATGCCCAGATTTACATTAGGAAGGGATAAGCAGCAAGTGCAGGCAGGCAGATGCCTTAATGGACCCCGGGTGCTGTACCACCAACAAGAAAGAAAGAACTAGGAGGGTTTTGTTCGACTTGTAGACAACTTGCATCTCCCAGACTAGCTTTTGCAAACTCTGAACAGGCTGAGAAGTCTTGCAACTTTACTAGCTACTCTGATGGTAACTGTGAATCAAGAAATGCAGATCTAGTACTGGGAATCTTAAAAACCTGAGTGTGTTTCATTAACTTCAATGACAAGAGATAGATGCTTTCTTATTGAGAGTCCTAAATCATACAAACAAGCACCAGAGTGAATAGAGGTTGCTCCAGGTGGCGAGCCCATGATGCGCATGGCTTGAAGGAGCGTCTCCTCCCCCATCATTCAGCCCGGACACTGAGGTCCAGCGCTGAGGGCCTTCTGATGGTTCCCTCACTGCGAGAAGCAAAGCTACAGGAAACCAGGCAGAGGGCCTTCTCAGTAGTGGCGCCTGCCCTTTGGAATGCCCTCCCATCAGATGTCAAAGACATAAACAACTACCTGACATTTAGAAGACATCTGATGGTAGCCCTATTTAGGGAAATTTTTAATATCTGCCATTTTAATGTATTTTTAATCTTTGTTGGAAGCTGCCCAGAGTGGCTAGGGAAACCCAGCCAGATGGGTGGTATACACATATTATTATTATTATTATTATTATTATTATTATTATGTACGGAAGTTCTCACCCTGGGCCAGCAGGGGGATACTGTAGATAGTTATGCAAATGAAGGATTGAAAAGTGACGTTCAGTGATTGGATACTTTTGTATGCAAATAAAGGATTGAAAAGTGACGTTCAATGATTGGATAGTTTTAGAAAATGGCAACAGTTACATTGTTCTGGAGCTCTATATAAGCAGGCTGACTGAGCTCCTCAGCTTAGTTCTGTTCCAGCTTACAAAATAAAGAGATGCTTTGGAGAAATCGCTGTGTCGTCTGCTATGTCAACCCACAACTTAACAATTATCATTTTGTTGTATGAGTTCATCCATTTTGCCATCCTATTTGCTGGAAACCAGCATCAAAGTAGTTTGCAGTGATGTCGTGAAATGGCCAAAGCGGTGGATCCTTCTGGCCAGTGGGAACACACAATCAACTTACAATGTAGGGCAACCTTCACTTGATTTGGATTCAAAGGGGCTCTGGGTGGCTGATAGTACATATGAACCAGGCTTTAGATACTTGCCTCATATTCCAATGTCTGTTTTGTTCTGCATGCTTGTATTCTAAGAGTCTGGCTATTTGTGTCTGTTTCTAAATGAAACCAATGTGGGCATGCATTTATTTATGCGCCCCTTTGCATGAAGGCACAGCAAAGAAAGTACTGCCAGATGGCCACTTGTGGATGACCATAACCTAATGGCAGGACATGTAGGGTGGCAGCTCCTAAACCTGGAGTTATCACTATGAAGCCTACAGATGCTAGTGTGACTGCCAGTGCCTTCTATGGGGCCTGGAAAAAGCCCCCATCAATAGCCACTCAAAAATCCACCCTTAGCATCCAGCTAAGTTCCCATTTGCATTGTCTCAGTTTCTCCTACACTGAACACCCCCTTAAACATGCACACATTTAATTGCATGCCAGGTTGGACTCATACATTCCCCATCCATTTTGTACAAAGGAGAGGTGCAAAAGAGATTCTCTCTGTGGGCAAGTGTGGCAGTTGCTGATGTAGGTGCCTTCCTGATGGCAATTTTTCTGCTCTGTTGGATTTGGCAGCCATTGTGTGTTCTGCCACATACTCTGTGGGAGCCATTTTGTGACTGACACTGATGGCACTTTCTCAAAATTCCTAATGTGCCCACTGGCCGCAAAATAGGTTGGCAACCCCTGTAATTCTGTGGTGCCCATACCTTCTGTTGCTGAACAGAAACACTATTCTTAGATTTTGATTCTGCAAATACATACTGAAATTAACCAAGCCAATTTTTAAGAAATTTTAACTAGGTGTCCACTGTCCACCCAGTGGACACTACAACCACGAAACACTACAGAGGTCCCTGCTTCAGTTCAGGGTGCTTTGAACAGATCTCACTGCACCGTGGACAAGCCCAGAATCCCTCACTGGTTCAAGATTTAGGCTTCATCCAAATCAGCTGCACAGCCCAAATACTAACACATTTTTCATACAGGTTAGCTTAGTAGTTTGTAAAATATTAATAGCATTTTAAATAAGGCTTGTGACTTCATTTTAATTATTAATGTTGCTAAAAATGGCATACTTAAATATATTACAATTTATTTCATAGTCACTATGTCTTAAATTATTGTTTTCTTTTTCGATGTTATGTGTCCAAAGCATATAGTATTTACTACCTATGTCCCCTAGCTGTGAATGAGTGTCCATTTAATTATGAATTTTAGAATGACCTGATAGGTATTATCTAGCACTAATAAACTAAAAGGAAAATAACCAGTTATTATTTTGTGTGAAGAACTATCATATAGAAACATACCTAGCATTCAAAAGACTGATTAGCAACCACTGAAACAGAGAATAAAAAACAGTCCCGCTGATGTCATTCACTGTTGCTCAGTTGAGTTGAGAAGTTATTTAAATTTTCCACAGAAAACCATCCATCCCAGTATGAATTGGTAAGGAAAGATGCAAGGGTCTTGGTATTCACCCAGAGCTATTGTAGGTAAATAAATAGGATATGCCCATAACATACATCCCACTTTCTCATGCTACTTAGCTTACATCCAGCAATGTTGCCTCCCATCAAGACTACCATAAAGGCAACACTACATTTTTTAAAAAACAAAACAAAACAAAACAAAACCTCTCCATTTTTGCACCCTCCAACTGTTTCATTCTTTCTACACCACACTACAGACACTGTAGGCTATATTGTGATTAATATCTGGGAGGCTCTTTAACAAGGCCAAACTTGATAAGTGGCTCTTGTTAGGTGAAATTTATGGCCTGGTACTTCCTCAGGAAGACTTCCCACGTTGAATTGTTGAGCATTAACTGACCTTAGTGCCCAGCACAAGGCAAGGGGAGGGGCTGGATGGAGATGGGGATTTTACACAGATGCCTGGTAACTGTGGAAGGTGCAGAAATCCAGAAGGAGAACACAACCTGAATCCGCCTCCATTGGAAGGGGCTGGTGAACAGAGGTCAGGGGGAGGCCTTCACCAGCGTGTGAGCCTCAGTGTTTTGGTGCAGTTTGTTTTTTGATTAGCGCAGTTCATGACCGGGCCATCCCACCTGAATAACAATCAGTTTGATTCACAGCAGGCCTGGAGAGGGCAGAGGAGGCCGGCAGCACTGTGCATATGGAGCCAAGCCTGGGGAAGTGCAGAACCTTCCCAAACCCAGATGGTTCTGTTTGACACATTTGGCAAAACACCAGAAACAACCTATTGGGAAAGAGAAACCATCAAGATGTTGCATGGACTGTATTTACAGCAACAAAGCCAGATGGGAAAGAAAGTGCAGCTTTGTGTTAATGACCATTCATGAAATGGAGATGCTGCTGCTGCTTTGCAAGGCAATTGTTAACAACAGCCTTGTACTCCTTCCCTTTTAAATCTACTCACAGGCATAGTCGTGACAATCTTTTCCTCATCGAAAATATGCATTAATGGGTCCTCGGCAATGCTGGTGCAGGCCCTTGACAGTCCCCCAGAACAGAAAGCTGGAGCCATTTTCTTCCCAAATTATTCAGGAGCACCAAAAAACCAGAGACACAGAAGAGGAGCTCACTTGCTGCTTTGGTTGCCACATCCGCAGGATTCCCTAACGCAGGTTCACGGCTATGCAGCCTGCGCTGCTTTCTCCAAAGCTGACCCACCAGTTTGGTGAAAGTGAAGCAGAGTGGTGGCACACCTCCCAGTTAAGCCCTGGGTTTAGGATGCAAGGTGTCTTCAAGCTGTGGTCAGACTCCACCTTCCATGCATGCTTCATAGTTGAGTGTCAGGCTTGGGTGGCTGTATTTAGGTGTGCAGGTATTTAAAAGATCCAAATATCAGCTTCCACACCTAGCCCTAGTACAGAGGTCTGCTTATTGTTCCTGTGTGTATATTGTTGAATGCCACCCCAATCTTAGAGCAGTGTGAGATTCCAGGGTTTCTACGCACTTACCAAGGGTTCACTTTCTTCAGAATAAGGGGACTGTGGTGTCTTTATGATATACGGTTTATTTACACATATAAACAACCTGAACCTATGATAATGGGGGTCACAGCATTAACACAGTATACCTGTATACTGTGTACCGGTATACCTGAAGGAGCGTCTTCACTCCCATCATAGCTGTCAACTTACAGATTTGAAAATAAGGGACCAGCAGCCTTGAAAATAAGGGACCAGCAGCCAAAATAAGGGACCTGCAGCCTCACCTGTTCCAGGCACTCCAGTCTTCCTGTCTTCCTGCAGTCTGGTCAAACTCATGCTGGTAGCTTCGAGAACACTGTCCAACCAACTTTGTAACCAGAGGTTCAACTGAAGAGAATCTGAATCACATGCACCACAAGGCCTATGCAGCCTCAACTTAAAATGGCTCCCCGGCCTGGCTTTCCACTGCAAAGTTTGCAGCAGCACGTGTAACAAAATGGTGTCCAGCATTCAAAAAACCCCTCAGCTTGCATTAACTAACCACACACAAGGCATGCAAGCTCCACCCCCCCATCGTTCTTAGACTTCTTATTCGGTGAGCAACACAGCCAAGCAACATAGTTGGAACCTCCCTGCTCCCTGGCTGGCAGGGAGGGAGGGAGAGGAGCTGCTTCCTTTGAAATTTAAGGGACATCATTTAAGGGATATTTAAGGGACATTCATCAATAAGGGACAGCAGCGGGACATGGCGCTGGAATAAGGGACTGTCCCTTCAAATAAGGGACACTTGACAGCTATGACTCCCATCATTCAGCCTGGACACTGAGGTCCAGCGCCAAGGGCCTTCTGGCAGTTCCCTCACTGTGAGAAGTGAGGTTACAAGGAACCAGGCAGAGGGCGTTCTTGGTAGTGGCGCCCACCCTGTGGAAGGCCCTCTCGTCAGATTTCAAGGAAATAACTATCTGACTTTTAGAAGACATCTGAAGGCAGCCCTGTATTGGGAATTTTTTAATGACTGATGTTTTACAATTTTTTATATGTACTATAAGCCACCCAGAGTGGCTGGGGAAACCCAATCAGATAGGCAGGGTAGAAATAGTAGTAGTAGTAGTAGTAGTAGTAGTAATTATTATTATTAATTATTATTATTATTATTATTATTACACACCAAGAGGGTCTTGCTTCTCCCATAGCCACAGCCTTGGATTCCAGCAGAAATCAGGCATGGTTCTGTCTCCCAACTGCCCAGCCTGCAGCCTTGCTTCTAGCTTATAGATCACACACACAACTCTCAGCTCTGGCTTTTTGTAGCCCTACAAATGTTACTGGACTGCAACTCCCATCTTCCCTAGCCTCTTGCTATGCTGGCTGGGCCTGGTGGTAGTTTGAGTCCAACAACATATGGAGAGACACAGGTTAACAGATCCAGATTTAAACCTTGGAAAGAGTGTGATAGACCCATTTACTCATGATTATTTTCAATGCCTTTCTCTACGAAACTATGAACTACAGAGCTATCACTGCTGTTGCTTACTTGAGTCAACTTAACACTTACAGGAAATAAAACCTAACAATATGGATGGTGTCAAAGTTACAGCAGGTGGAAAAGACATTCATGCCTGTGCTTTGATTATTGATACAGAATTCACTGGTCAGCAGTCGCATCCTGCTGAGGTGAAAGTCAGCCGGGGTAGCTGCCCCTTTCAATTGCCTGAGAAGCAATGTGAATAGGCCTTACCCTTCCAGTCTCCTGTTTCAGAGTTTCATTTGAAATTCTTTAGTCCTCTACATCCAAGGTCCGCAGGCCCAGAACACATTTAAGGCCTTGTTCCATATTCTATGCTACTTAGCAGGACCTCTCTTCAATGCTCTAACCTGGAGCAGTGGCAGATAAGTGCTTAGTGACCTGTCACACCAGGACTTCAGTCTTTTGTCCTTTGAAATTGGCCTTCCTCTTTTCATTTGAGAGGATTTGTACAGGGTTGTTACAGCCATCATTTCCCCCTGGAACACATTTAATGGCGAGAGTCAAGGGAGTGTCTTGTCTTTGCACATCATAAAGTCTAAAATATGATTAAATAATTGAAACAGACTAAAAAGACAACAACCCCAAACCACTCAGCTTACCAAAATCTAAAAAATAGAAAAAATTGTAGAAACTGAGTACCATGGAGTCACATCTGTTGTGATCTGTGGATTGGGATAGAATGGAATTGTCTGATTTCATGAAGGTAACATATTGTAAACTCAGAGGTGGTGAAATGTTCTGACTACACCATGATATAAACTACTTGGAAAATGAATGTGAATCAATCAGTCCTTGAAAGTGAAAAGTATGTGAAAGGGAGCAGAATTGAAATGAAGATTTTCAAATATTTAAAATTCAGTTTATAAACTTCTTTCAAATTTGAAATGCAAATTCAAAATGTAAAACCTTATCAATGTTTAACTTGTTTTTCTTAAAAACACTGCTATGCCATCCTTCATCAAATCAAGTTCCGGGGCAGTAAACTGCAAAATAATACATTATTTTAAACCTAAAATTTAATAAGATATTGGCTGTCAAATGCTAAACACTGGTGCTGTTAAAAATGGAATGGAAGTGGTTTATTTAAAATACTAATTTTTATAAAAGCAGATGTTCCTTGTTAGAAGAGAGGACTATGAGCAAGTTTATTCACTTGGCACTCTCAAAAATTCATTCTGACTCACAAACATTTTAGTTTTTAACACCCACAGGGAAGCAACCTAGGTCCCAGAGACATTCCTGTTTTGATGAGTTGGCTGGGCATCAGGCTTGATAATGATATTTTGAAACTGATACAATTCTGGTTGTGGCATATTTAAAAAGAGGTTGTAGAACTGGAAAAAGTGCCCAAAAGGGCAATCAAAATTACCATAGGCCTGGAACTCCCCTACAAAAACCGGGGGTGCTTTTGAACTGCTAGGTTGGCAGGCGCTGGGACCGAACGACGGGAGCGCACCCCGCCGCGGGGATTCGAACCGCCGACCATGCGATCGGCAAGTCCTAGGCACTGAGGTTTTACCCACAGCGCCACCCGCGTCCCCGATAGTTGTATACTGCCCTCTAATTGGTGTGGGGCTATTTAGTTAATGGGGGTCATGGCAGACATATATAAAATTGAACTTGCAGGCATTGAATGCTAGTCCTACTCACAGTAAGCCTATTAATTTAATATACACAACTACCTAAGGTTCATCAATTTTAACTCTGAGTAGGATTTAGTTGAACACACGCCATTGTTGCACAAACTTTGATCTCACCTAAGTGATACCAACAATTGTGGATTATAGTTTGGCATTGACCAGAGCTTGTTGGATTCCAGCTCTCATCAGCCCCAGCTAGTGTGGTTAATGGTCAGAGATGATGGGAGTTGTAATCTAACAGTATCTGGGGAGCCCCACATTGGCTCAGTTTAAACCACTGTATGCACTTCACTGCCGTTGTGGATTAGACAGAGGTGGTATATATTTTCTTCCTCATTTGTGGGGTAGCACATACTTGCTTTTTCTTTTTCTTTTCTGGTCAGGACTCCCTTTGTTTTGCAGTAGTAGCACCATGATTTCTAAAAGGCCTTTGCTAGTAGCTTAGATATCTAAACTTTTATCGATGAAACGCTCATTAGCCCATTTTTTAATAAATTATTTCCTCTATACATGTATGACTATTAAAAGTAGCATTTGGAATGCAGTGTGAGAGGACTCAACATATCTTCTGTTGAATTCCATTTATAGCACAACCTGTTGTCATTCATTTGAAAACATATGTGCTGCATAAAACCTTCATTTCAGGAGTTTACTCTGTAGTTAATGAGCTATTAAGCAGACAACCCAACCAATTAATGAACAGATATAATGGCTTGGACCTTTGTACACTTTGGCAGCAATCCTAAGCAAGTTTTCTTGGGTTGACTAGGAATCGGTGGGAATCGCTTCCAAGTAAATCTGACTAGGATCAGGGCATTTAACATTCTTAATTTATGGAATGGAAACTGCATAGCCTCAAGTGGGGCTAAATTCGGAAACAAATAACTTACGGCATCTGAAAACTCCTCAGAGCACCATAGAAGCAAGATCAAACTAGCTCAATTAATTAATTTCAAACAGAAACAACAACAAAACCCCCCAAATTAGCTTGGCATTCATTAAAACATGGGTGTTCTACCAGCAGAATGAAAAGAAGGCACTTTTCATGGGAGGTATTGAATTCAGATGGATACTTAGGAATATTGATACCTTGGGGTGGGGAGGAGAGATGAAAAACAGGACTGGAGGTTACTACAGCAGCTTTTTGTGACTACCTGATTACAGCTATTCTATTCTCATTGACCCTCTGCTGCTGTGGGTTGTTGTTTTTTTTTACTTGGTAGAATTAAAAATTTACTTGGAGGAATTATTCATGGACTTCCATGAATAAATATAACTGTTAGCACCATCTTATTAACTAAAAGCAATTTAGAGATAAATACAGTGAATGTTAATGAAAGGCAAAGAATGGAAAATTGTTTAAGTGGCCAAAGAAACTTTATCCTATTGTGATGCAAGCCAAGCTATGCCAGCTATATGTAAATGTATGCAGTAGCTGGTGTGCATGTGTCCACTTTGAAGTTGCCATCTGAATTTAATTCTGCCTTTGTGATTAAATCAGGCCATTACGTTTAATCTCACTTAATAGTAAGAAACGCTCTTTGTTGTTTTCTATAGGCAACATATTCTGCCCCTAACATATACAGCTTGGCATTCACACTTTACTATTAATCCCCGATGGCTGATAATTGCTTCATCTCCAAGTTCTCTGTCCAATGCACAAGAGAGCTGATTGCAACTATTCTTCCCCTATACATTAATGCACTGTTTTGGTCTTACTTCTTTGGCTCAGTGAACCCTATCAAGCTGTCCACATTTTCTGGGCATGTGGATGTATTGTAAGTTGTTAAATTAAATTCTTCGCTGACTGCCCCCACCCCTTCCCCAACCATCAGAATCTATTAGCACTGCAAGTTAGCTGATTGACAACTGAGGCTATTTTTCTACTCAGAAACCTGAAATAAAAAGGCAGAAATGTGTGTTTCATGTGAAAAACCAAGGTCTTCTGCCAGCTGTCTTTCTACTTACACTTTCATTACCGCAGCTGGAACAGTGGCGCTGCCAGAGTGTTCTTCCATTGATCTTTCGTATGCCCGTTGAGAAATTCCTTTCATATACATCGTTTACTAGGAAATTAAAAGTGTACCTTCAGTCATTTTGGAATTGGAAGAGAACTGAATGATTTACATCACATTGCCAGAGAAATGCAAGGTGTCTCCCAATTCCCTAGAGCAGGCTAGTTCATAATCATTAAGGTACCATGAAAGGTACAGATCCAAATTGCCTTTTCTCTTGGTCAGTTATTTAATTTATATGAGAGTTAATTCATACAGAAGTCTCCCTGTCCCTGCTAATAGCAATTTTTGCCAGGTGTGTTAGGGGACTTACATAGTAAACCCATTTTTATATATATGAGAAAGGAAATACAAAACTGAACCATTCTAGCCCTTAGTGCCTATGGAAATAGATTATTGATTAGATACCACATTTAGGGCTCATCCACATTTATCTTTCACCTGCTCTTGACAAGCATAGTCTGTGTTTTACAGCTCCATGTCTGAGTGCCTTTTTGGGGCTTTGGAGCTTTCCCTGAGAAAACCCACTCTTTAAAGCTCAATCAGAGCAAACATCAATCTATGACTTGACATCTGCTCTGACTGAGCACTAAGAACTCTGGGGCAAAAAAGAACCCCACGGAGCTTTAAAGCACGGGCCTGCATCTGGAAAGGGTGGGGCAAAAAGTAAGTGTGGATAATAATTGTAAGGACTTACATAAACAGGTTTCTGTCTCTCTAAGCTGTTGTCCTTAGCGTTGGGTCCGATGGCACCTGAAATAAGCCTTTTATCCGTATGCCAGGATTCAACCTTGAGGTAGCCCTCATAACTTGGTGCCACTCTGAGGCAGTAAGAGCAGTTACTACTGGAGATATCATCCCCTCTCCCACACTATAAGTAAAACAATGGCATGGAAGCCAAGAGAACATTTGTTTATTTTTCATGGAGCTCCTGCCTCTCAAGGCATTGCACATAATGTGGCCTCACATTATGTCATCTTCAGATCTTCACCTTCTGAAGACATACTGACATGATATCCTATACATGTCCACTTAGAAAAAAGCCTTGTTGAGTTCGAAGGGATTTCCTCCAAGGTAAGCATGTGCAGGATTGCAGCTTTACTTTCTTATTCTAATCTGTGAGATTGAAAATAATCTGTGTATAATGCAATCTCCCTGAGGACAGTTTCATTTTTGGCTCAAATAACGAAATGTAACAATTTCAATGAAGTACAAAATGTAGCTAATCTCTGAATTGAATTTTTATTCTAGTTTGCATATTCTATTAATATCTGGCACACCTGCAGCTTTCATGCTACAATGTTCAGTTTTCTATGGGCATACTTGGGGTTAATAACTCATATTATCTTATTTTCAGTTCTTGGGAAATGGCTGTAGCTCCTGATGGATCATTCTCAGTAGATCCCATGTCAGTATTTGTTGTGGGTAATTACATGGTTCCTAGCCAATATTTTCAATCATTCATTCAGTGACTAATTACCATAGCTAGATTTCCAGTGGGTTGCTGTCCAGCACCTTCAGCAAAATTTACTTTGCATATACTGCAAGATGTTTTTGTGCCGCTTCAAAGTACAATTCTATGAATAACAATAAAGTAAGCAGTTTCTTGGCAGCTCTCGTAGTGAAAGTGGAGGGTTCTCTGTGGATTCAGAGAACTCTAAATAAAAACATCAGGCCAAAATATTAATGTCCCATGACAAGAAACACAAGCACCCTTCAATTTGTCTTGTTGGCAATTTCCACTTCTCTAGGTCTTTTGTATCCCCAAAGATCTGAAATAATAATTTAAGTGAATTTGGTTACATTATTAAACTACCTGACTTAGACATGATACTGTCCCTTTACTTACTTACTTACTTACTTACTTACTTACTTACTTACTTAATAACTAGTCTGCTCAATCCCATGGATTCAGAATGGCTTAAAGCAGTTTTCTCAATTGTTAATAGATTTTCTTTTCCCCAGGGGCTCAGTCTGAAACAGTTAAATCGGGTATAAAAGAGGCAGGAATAAATAGGGGGGAAATGATACTATAAACACACATATTAATCTATTTTTAAAATGCATTAATCAGCTTTTAGAAACAAACCAATGTTCCCAAAGCACACCATAAATAACCAACCCCAAATGCTATCTATAGGACTATATTTTGCTATCACCCAACTGCTCTTCAGCTCAGATCATAATGTCTCCCCTGAATTGCCTTACACTTTCCTTTCTCTTGCAGAGTATGGAAGAGGCATGAGCTTTGCAATGTGCGGTTACAAGTGTGTTTCTCAATCTGCAAATGTTCTCTATAAGAAGCAGGAGAAATGAGGCTTTCCTTACCCATTATTTTCACTGTCATCTTGTTGTATTTCATCTGCATTCAGGTTTACCTTTCAGTAGTTTGGTCAACTCCCTCTGGATTTCTTCATGGCTTTTTCTAGATTAGTTAAGTGTTTTCTAGGTATGTTTGCAAGTTAAGCGTACTTTCTTTCTTTCTTTCTTTCTTTCTTTCTTTCTTTCTACCTAGGCTATTGTACTCATGTTTCTAAAAAAAATTGTTCAAACGACATAAATGTATGTGGAAGAGCATCTGCCTTGAATGAAGGTCCCAGGTTCAGTTCCTGGCATTTTCAGGTAGGGCTGGGAGAGACCCCAGTTTGAAACCTCTAGAGCTGCCAGTCATTGTAGACAAGGCTGAGCTAGATAGACTAATGAGTGTGACTCTCTGTGAGGCAGCTTCCTATATTCCTAGGCACCTTTATACATGGATTCCACATTTAATTTTTCGGCTGTTTGTTTGCTCTGTTATCTGAGCCTGAGTATTAGATGTTCTTTCCTTCCTTCTGAATTAAAACCGAGCAGTCAAAAACAGGGGAAACCACCTGGGCAGAATTAATCAAATTGAATTGAGGAGGCCAAAGATGCAATTTGTCCATACTTACCTGGGAATATCCTGTTGACACACTGGGTCTTACTGCTGAGTTAGCCTGCTTAGGGATTGAGCTCTCAGGCTGGGATCAGTCTCCTCCCAGCCCTCCTGCTGAGAGTCCCTGAGAGGAGGCTTCCAGCTTCAGCCTAGAAGCAAGAAAAACGTGTGCATGCTTCAAGATCTGAAAACTCCCCAGCAGTAACCAACCTGAAGGAAGATTTGGACACTGGAGAAGGAGGCCAACTCTAAGGACTTCATTTACACTCCATGTTCAGCCTTCCTCTCTTCCCCACATCACTGACCTAGCTTTCCGGATTTAATTTATGTCTACCATTTTTTAATCATCTTGAATCTTAACAAGACATTCTGAATCTACCATACGGTTACAATGAATTGCAGATTCTACCCAGGTCCTTGCTTATGTGACTACTTCATCGGAGGCAGAGTTCCTAATTATTCTGGGCTCTTCTCCTTGATACTAGATTGCTCCTACCTCTAATTAAGCTTAGTCAAATTTGAGACTGAAGTGAATTACTGGCTCTCCTTCAGGCATAAATGGATTATAACATGACAACATACTTTGCCTCTCGTTGATACAGATGCATTGGGCATGTGAGCAAATAGATATTATAGTTTAGTGTTTATTTGTGCAGATTATAATGGTAAACTCACAATAATTGAAGTGAACAAAAACTACCTAAAGGGGAGAATAAAACCTTTCAGACGTAAGTGAATTTGAAACACCATTGTTTCTAGAATTATACAGCTTCATTTGTATATAAAACTGGAAAAAATGGATTGAAAGATATCTTAAAAGGCTGTCTCAAGATATCTCTTTAATCAGAATCAATTATAAATAACTAAAGGATTAAAAGACTTCCAGTGGTGCAGACTCCGTAATATATTATGGTATTGACATATTAGAACATTCTAATTTTGAGTTCTTGTATTTTTCTAACATCATCTCTTATACCCAGGATAGAAATAGAATATATCAAGTACTAAAATCAGAAGCAGTAGATCAGGAGGTGGAGCTATCAAATGAAATTACAAGCATTTCTTTATTAATTTTTCTCTGTTTCCAAGACAATGGCTCTCCTGTTTCACTCATCACCATTAAAATAGAGACTTTATGGATTATCTGCTCAGGGTAATGTTACAAATTTATCATTATCTTTTAGGTAATGGAAAACTGGAATCCTGGGAACACTTACTAAGCGGTAAGCTCCATTCTGAGTAAGCAAGTTTAGGATTGTGCTGAGGGCTACCATGATATGCAAACTTACTTGGGAGTCAGTCCCATTAAAATCAGTGGTGGGGCTTACTTCTGAGTAAAAATGGATAGGTTTGGGCTGCCCCTCGATAGCTGTGGTATTATCTTCAAACAATACATCAGTGGCGACTAATGACTATACGATCTACAATTAAATACTAGGCAGTGAGGGAGAACGGGTGGCATCTCAGGGTTGCCAAGGTAAATGATAACACTCGCTTGTTACCGCACTGGGTGAAGACAAATACAGTTGCAGAGGCGTGATTAAGTTAAGGACTTTTGTGGAGCATGCGCACTACGTCAATTGGACAAGCAGCCCGACCTTAAGCACGTTCACTTTGAAGCAAGCCTCGTGGCTTATTCCAAAGTGAACGCGCACAAGTTCTCATCATTCACGGTACATAACTTTGGTTGGTCTTTTGCCCCTTATAAAACTGTAAAGCAAGTTTTCTGGGCAACAGCTTTATTTTTCGTTTTCCCTGGCAATGTCTCCCGCCTCCTTACACGCGCGCCCCCGAAGCGATCTCACATCTGATTTGAAAGGACACTGAAATGCATGCAACTTGTCCTGTTAAAGGGCCGGACGCCCCGGAGATTCCTTTCTCCCGTTGCTGAACTGTCTGCACTCTCGCCGCCCGACCCCGGCGAGGACTAAACTGAGGAGGAGGCTCCCCCTCCGCTCGCGCCAGTGCTCCTGCTGCGCACGTGTCCTTGTCCTCGCCCCTCCCTCCAGGTCCGATCTTCCGCCTCTCCTCTCCTCTAACCCCCCCCACGCCCACCCCGCCGCAGTCCCGGGTCAGTCACTTGGAGAACTGCGCCTGCACGGCCGTTAAACTGAGGCCGGACGACGGGATGAAGTGGGGGAACTTGCAAATGGCGCAAGTGCAGAGGCTGGCGCCGCTGGGCAGGTGCACCTGGCCGCACTGCTGCTCTTCCAGGGCCACCGAGAGGTACTTGCTGGCCGGGTGCGGGGCGTGGTGGTGATGGGCATTCACGGCCCCCGGCGTCAAGAGGACCGGGCCCGGGGCGGCGGCGGCGGCGGCGAAGAGGGGCAGGCCGGCCAGGAGCAGCCGGGGGCCCGAGCCGCTCATCTCGCCTAGGATCCTCCGGAGCTCTTGCAAGGAGCTCCCCAGCAAGAGGATGTAGTTCCTGGCCAGGAGCAGCGTGGCGATCTTGGAGAGCTTCCTCCCCGGCGAGCTCTGGCAGTGCGCGGCCGAGTAGGGCAGGATCACCTCCCGCAGCGCGTCCATCGCCAGGTTGAGATCTTGCATCCGCTTCCGCTCCCGGCTGTTGATCTTCCTCCGGAGCTGCTGCTGCTCGGTCTTCTGGTCACTCTTGGGCGTGACGCCGGCGGCAGGGGCTGCTGCCGCGGTCGCCTTGGCGCTCCCGGGTCCGTGGAGAGGCTCTGGAGCAAAGTCCGGCCGCTCAGGAGCTGCTTTGGCCAGCAAGGCGGGAGGGGGCTGCCTGTAGCCCACCAGCTCATAGAAGGGCGGCTGCCTCAGCATGATCGCTTCGGTGCTGCGCTTTCAGAGCAGGCAGAAAACTTCCATAGCACAAAAAAGGAGCCGTGGGGGTGGGGAGCAGCAGCTGGAAGGGAAAGGGGGGCGGGGAACGCGCCGGTGATTTGCCGTGAGATGTGAGGAAAGGGATAATCGGCCGAACCCTCTTTAAATCCAACTCTGTTGTTAAAGTAAAGGAATGTCAGGCCGGCAGCCAATGGGAGTGCAAATCTGGGCAAAGAGCGGCGCTCATTGGCTGCCGCGTGGCGTGGAGGGAAGACGCTGCGCTGGGCAAAACAAGAAGTTTATTGTCGCCTCCGGGCTCCGCGGGTTCCGCCGCCCAAACTTCCGCAAGGGCTCCTGTCCTTTCCGCTCACCTTTTGGAGCGCGCTTGTTTTTTCTTTTTCTGTTTATATGTGCTCTGGTTCCTTCTCCTGCGTTTTGACTGCTGGCAGGAATATAAATGCCTGCCGAAGGGCTGGGATATGTAAACTTGCTCTGCTTTTCAGACCACAAAGTGGTGTCTGATATTTGTTTTGGTCATAGAATAACTTGGCCCCCCTGCCTCTGGTTAAAAACAAGCTATTTTAAAATAAAGCAGAAGACAGAGCTGAGATATCACATGTAGAAATGGGACGTTGCAGGACTTCTGTTTGCACCCACATGCTTATTTAACTTTGACATACAGCAAAGGATTTTATAGCCCATTGAATGTGCTAATTGGCTTGCCAATGACAATATGTCTGCATCATCAAGCACTGTTTTGTGAACTACCACTATCAATTATCATTATCTGTCCTTTTCATTTGCTTCTGACCTCCCATTTTATAACCCCCCCAACCCGATGTGAATTTATAACCTATAATTCACGATAATGCCTCACGCATTTGATGAGGTAGACTGTGGTCCATCAAAGCTTATGTCATGATAAATTGGTTAGTCTTGAAGGTGCCACAAGACTCTTAATTGTTTATGCTTCTAAAGCCTAATGTGGTTACTCGCCATGATCTCCCCCATCTATATTTCACAAATGTTTTTCTGTGTCTCAGCCTTGTTTTATTTTGATTTCAGGTATTTATTATAAGTACCGTATTCTTCAGCTGTTCTGTTAAGGCAGCTCAAAGTATGAAATAAAGCAATGTAAAATTCAGTACCAGTAAAAAACAGTGCAATCCTAAACATTTTTCTTTAGAAGTCCCATTGAACTCAATGGGCACTGCTCCATAGTAAGTGTTCTTAGAATTGCAAACCATAAGTCTAAAACAACTTTAAAACTTTTTTTACATTGAACTGAGATACAAAAATTCAGTAAAATCAAAGACAATACAAAGCAATAAAGCAAAATGATAAAACAGCAGGATAATGTAATTCAGGTTAAATCAGATAGATGCAAAATGCTCAGGCCCATGGTTTTTCTTATTTTTAATTGTATATACCTTACAGCTAGATAAAAGGGTTTGGAGACGGAAGTAAGTTGTAGCCCATTTTCCTTGGAGATACTTTAGACATCTCTGCCCTAAGGGAAAGTAGAAGGGAAGAGGTCCAGGCTGTGGAAGGTGCCTGGGACTACTTAAGTTTTTTCTGCCCTGATGGAGTGACTAAGCTCAGAAGTAGCGTTGTTGTTGTTGTTGTTGTTGTTATATTCTTTACACTCTGCCTTTTTCTTGGGTGGGACTTTGGGGGAAATGAGATCATGCCACCCTTTCCTGCAAGGACAGTTGATGGCCTGAGAGAACAGTTGTGGCAGCCCCTGCCCTGCCTTCCTTGGGGCTGCTTAAGACAAACCTGTGTGACCTGAGGGAAGGCAGCTTTTGCCATCCACTCTCAGATAGCCCAGGAGGGCACTGTTAATCTACATTTTATACCATTTTAATTGTTTATGTATCTTAAAATTGTGAACTGCCTTGGTAATAACATGATATAAAATTGGAACAAATAGAACTATAACAATGCCGTGCTTACATTGCTGCTTCCTATGTTCTCACAGTTTTATGCCATAATTAAGGAAGCTTCATTAAGAAATGCCCAAGGGCTTAAGTGTACATACTGGATTTTTTTGACTCTTTAAAATGAAGAATAATTATATCAGTAATAAACCAACAATTATACAAGGAATAAACAAATATTGAGACCCCCACATCTTTCCTGATGCCAGAATTATTCTGGGGCAGGACCACCCCCATGTTTGGCAAAGGAATATGTTGTAGAAAGCCCATTTCCCTGTGGTGTGACAGGCTAGTCTTCAAGTGGTGGTTTGGAACCCATTGCTGGGTCACAGCCTGACATAAGGTTGGTCACAACAGCAGCACAACCACCATACAAATATATGGTGAAAATTAAGAGGTGGTTCTCAAAGGTATGTCCACAATTTGAGAAGACTAGGCAAGTCTATTTTAAATATGAGCTAGACAATCCACATCATTATATTAGTGCATAAGCTTCAGTACACACATGTGATCACTTGAGCCATATTCATTAAGTTTGTCCTTGGTCTCATTCATAAGTATGGCGAGATATCATTAGGGTGCAGACTGGTGTCCAAATACTGGGTATGGTGACTGAAACAGGGCCAGTCCTATGTTGAGGCAGAGTGAGGCAGCTGCCTCAGGTGGCAGGGAGTGGACAGAACGGTGAGTGTCATGTGGCCTGCCCTGTACCTCTTACGATAGCCTGCTTCTCTCAGGTGCAGTGGAAGATCCTGTCCTTTCACCAGTATTGAAGTAAGATTCAACTGCCAGTCAAATTGGCTTCTGTATGTGCCTTGAGGAAGGGCACCATCTTGTTCTTCTCTTCAGGCAGCAAAATGTCTCCAGCCAGCCTTGGCTGAAGAGGATGAGATTCTGCAGATTGATCTTCCACCTTGGTGCTTTGCTTTTGTAGGCCCTGGCTATTGCCTCCTTTTTCTTTTCTTTTCCCAGCCCAATGCACTTAGTCTACTTGGAAATCATGGCCTCTGACTTCAAGTTGATAATAAGGAGCTTTCAGAGCTCCATCAGTCCATTATTGTAAGCTAGTGTGGCTTGGCTTATGGACTGCACTGTTGTGATGAATTGGACAAAGGCACAGTTCCCAGTCCTATTTTACAGAGCAATCCTAATCATGTCTACTCAGACATAAACCTTACTGAATTCCATGAGGCTTACTTCCAGGAAAGTGGGATTAGGATTGCAGCCTTAGTCACTTTGGAAAATATGCTGATGGTGTTGATAATGATGTAGTAATAATAATAACATCATCTGAGAACCATTGCCAAGCATCTGTCTTGCCACTGACTTTTGAAAGCTGGGAGCCATTAATTGAAGGAAGGGCTCCAGAGTTATAGGCCATGAACTCCAGGTAGGATTGAGAGCTGGAAACTCTTAATTATGCCATGTTGTAATGGGAGGTAAGGATGGGGCAAGACTGGAATATGCACAAGAATGAGGCAGTGGGGTAAAGTGGTTAGAGTATCAGACTAGGGGTCCCTTTGTAAAAAAAAAAGAATCTGCAACAGGTCAATTTATACCAGACTGTCTACACTGCTTCTCCAGTGTCATGAATTAATGCCATTGGGAGGGACATTCACAACCAAACCAGGACAAAAGAAAGAAAGAAACCAGAGCATTTGTGGACTAAAAAGTTACAGGATTTCAGCAGGAAGTTATGGAACATGCGCTGGATAGAAGCAAAGCAGTATGTCCACCCAGGCACAAACAGTATGGAAAGCAGGATTGCATATAACCACCCCAATACAGTCCTGAGCACAAACCATCACAAATGTACAATAAAATGTGCAACTTCCAGGGTGATCTATCTCTCAGTCTAGTCTACATCTCAGAGTTGTTGTGGGGATGAAATTCCAGGATGTGCGTGTGTCCATGTGCACCATTTTGAGATTGCTGTAGGAAAGGTAGGATATAAATATGGTAAATAAATAAACAAGGCCCCTCCTTTCACTAGCTAGTTCAGGTCTCCACTTTTGTTTGCAATGTAGGTACTAGAAAATCTCAGTGGCTTTTTTTTTTTTTTGCAATGTTTGCATCTAATTTTAATATAATAAGAACTTAATGCTTTTAATAACAAATAAATAAATGTGGTTTTTAAAAAAAAAACAAAACCAGAAATCTTCTTTTCAACTGTTGTTCTTTAGATTGATCTGCACAATTGAGCTTATCAAACTCTGGATGCCTGGGAGAGAGCACATTCTTCAAGCTGATGGAAACCACTTTGATCTGGGCACTTTAGACAAAAACTGTTAAGACACACTTATTGGGGGGAAATTATCATAAAAATTATTGTTGCAAATTGTGGGTTGTTGGCTAAAATAGGTAAGGATAAGAAAAACAAGGATACTGAATCTTAAGTGTCAAGTTTTCTAGTTCGAAAAAACCCCCAGTGCCTAGATCTATCAAGCCCAGGGAAGAACCTACTTTCTGTTTCAAATGAGAGGGAAATGACAAAATACTTTTGTTGACACAGAAGGTGGGGGGGGGGAGAGAGAAATGCCAATGAAAAAGATGTCTGTTTCCTTTTTCTTTATAAATGGGTTTAAGATAGGCAATCAAACATTCACTTCAAACTTCAGAATAGGTTTGAAAGTGTACTTGTGCATAGAACAGCCAGGCTGCCTTAAAACAGTGTGATCCAGTGTGCTGTGAAATTGCACACACAAGTCTATAAAATCAATTTCAAAGGGCTGGCTTTCTTTGCAGGAAAAAAAAAGAAATAACGATATTCTTTGAGCCATTCTAAAGTTGGTAGCTTAAGCCAAACACTGTAGAGGGTTCTCCCTGTTGCCATAAAAGAGACAGTTTGCTTAGACGGCTGTGGCTGATTTATAACACAGTGCCCAATGTCATGGTCAGGTTTTTTGCGTGACAAAACCCTGGCAGTTTAACTCGGACTCTCCGTCAGACTCAAAAGATGTGAGTGATTCTGGCCGGTGCAGCTTCGCTTGCGGGATGTTCCAAATGGTTAAAACGAACCCTTTCATAAGGACACATGGCCAAGTGTGTTCAAAGGAACGAAGGGGAGAACAAAGGTAGCTCTGAAGTCATTTCCCTGCACTGAATCCAGCCATCCGGTTTGACTCTTTCTTCCATGAATAGGCAGAATGCAACAGGAAGAACAAGCCTGAAAGAGAACAAACCAGCCAAATGTACTGGCAGAGGGACCTGAGAGAGAAGGCAGGGGCAGCTTGATGCCCGGCTTCTATTCTTTGCCCTTGGAAAGGAATGAATGATAAATTTATAGCATCCAAAAGGTAATAAATGTGTCTAGCTGAAGTGCCACGGCCAAGTTCCTAGGACACCTGCAAAGACAGGGGGGGCTTTATAGGACCAAGCAGCCCTCTCTTTATTGGAAGCAGACGGACTGCAGCGGACACAGAGGGATACTGTTCCCAGTTTTGCCCCGTTCCTCTGCCGCTGGCTCAAAGTCCTTATCAATGTATGCAGCAGCCAGGCCTGCTGGCCTTCTGCATAAAACACCATTCAATCAGGGTATGAGAGAGAGGGGGACAGGCAGGCAGCAAACGGCTAATGAAAAAGGACTTGGGATCTGAATTTGTCCCAGGCTGTACTGCTACGTCCAATGCATCCGCCATCCACAATCAACCTACCCAACTAGGCTGCATACTTACCGTACAATTGGAGCCCATTCATCCTTGCTTCAAAGGATTATGGGAACTGTACTTTACACTTCACAGAACCACGAACCATAGCACTCTCAACAAACTGCTGCTCCCAGGATTCTGGGGTTGTGTGTGTTTTCAATGGGCTTTAATCGTAGAATTGTAAAGTTGGACGGGACCACAAGGGCCATCTAGTCCAACCCTCAGCAATTCAAGCATCTTTCACCCAATAAGGGGCTTGAACCCATGACCTTGAAATTGAGTCATGCTCTACCAACTGAGCTAGCAAGACATAGGTGTGGTGCGGTTGCAGTAATTGGGGAGCTTTTAAGAGAGGCCTAGTTACGAGTATCCCACTCTCCCAGGCCCAGAATACCACCTCTCTCGATCCATGGCAATTATCCTACTGCTTTTACTTCCTTTGGAGAAGATTAAGAAACACACCCTGTATTTATTTGCCCAACAGGCTTGGCTGTGCTAGTGCTGAAGGACTACGGCCACTGAGGGAGGCAGAAGATGCCATAGCACGTAATGTGCCGAGCAATTGTTGGGGCTGGTGGCATAAGACAGCAGTGGGCAGAAGGTTGGACTGGGATCTATTGGTCCTAGGCAGAGTAGATGTAGCTAAAGGAGCGTGACCTACTCACAAGAGGAAAAGATCAACAGCTTCAGGGGAAACTCCAAAGGTCTCTGGAAGTATAAAGAGAACCCCAACAACAGATCCATGAGGACTGGGCATACTCAGAAACCATGGAATGTGGCTGACTGCTAGAGGGAAGTGGAGGAAAACCAGGAAGGAGGAATGGACTTCAGAATCCTGGAAGAAGGCAGGTCTGGCTGAGCAGGAGCATTATATGCTACAACATTTTGTTGTAGATCAGATCCCACTTACTGAACCAAGTTTTATTCTGTCATAGGAGTGGCTCTTTGAAGATGGGGAAAAGGCAAGAGTCTGTGTCAGAGTGAAGTGGGGATTGTCAGTCATGCCTGGCACCTGCTTTCTCTGTTGGAGTTACTATGAGAAATTGCCTGCCTGCTTCAGTGAGGAGCAGATGGTGGCTAAGGGTTGTCTGTAGTCTGCAGAGACTTCTCCCTTCATCCAAGTATTTGGGATAATCTCCCCCCCCACACACACACACAATGTAGAAAAGAAGATATATTTTGATGCAGACAAAAAGGGAAATATTGCTCTGAGTTATTCAACTCCTAAACAATCTGCATGCAAACAGAAGCATATCAGTCCATATCAAATATCTACAGTATGGACAAGCAGGCTAGAGCTGATGCGAGTCATAGTCCAAGGGCTGCCCTCCAGAATACATTTTTATTGTGCATTCATGATGCTGGTACATTGTGGATTGTGCTGGGTTTGTGCGATGCTGTTTTGTAACCTCAGGTCTCTTAGTTTCGTTGTTATGAACAGCAGATTAATATGAACTAAATGAAAAAAATTAAAATACTTACTTCTTTTTAAGGCAGCAAAAAAGTCCAAATATTATACTTTTTTCAGTGTGGGGACATCACTTATTAGACAGAATCAAACTAAAAGAACTGTGGAGGAAAATACGTTCGGACATTAGTTGTGTATTTTTTATTTTTGGCAGTGCAGGTGACACTCCTAACAAGTCCTTGTGAGCAGATGAGAAATGTATGGGCTGTTAATAAACTGTAACTAATCGGTGAATACTGCCGGATTTTGTTCAAGCTGCTTGGGGCCACAGGTCCTTGGGAGAACGAGCACTTGCTCTGCCTTTATTTCAGCATTGCAGAAGCTTGTGGCAGCCTCTTGATGTTTGTCATAGTGAATAGACATATGTCTCTCGCACAGTCATGTAGCATATTCAATTAAGTTGCACAATGATAGCTTATAACAAGGGCATTTCCAAACAAGACATTGTCATTCTCTTCGTTGACAGTACAAGAAGAAGAAAAAATGAAGGCTGGCTCAGTCTCTGGACATTGTGATGTGAACAATGTACTCTCCCAAAGCTTTAATTTATAAATTCGAAAGAACCGTTAAGATGCGCTGTGCTTCCATATTGCTCTTCCTAAAGTGTTGCTTTTCATGAAAAGGGCTAAGGAGCAGAGCTATTTACTTATTTCTTTAGTATTTTAGAAAATAAAACAGGCTTAGAGTGCAATCCTCTGGCTGCCTACTCAGTCCTATTGACTTCACAGGACTTCCTCCCAGATAACTGTGCATAGGGTGGCAGCCTTAATAATATAGATTAATAATAGATTGTTTGCAAGATAGCCAAAAACCTAGCTTTTGCTTACAAAGTGCCGTGAATCTTGATGGCACTATATTAGCACAGTAACTAATGACTTGAATCAGTGCCAGCAATGAAGAGCATATGGATTTTATTTTAAAACTACCTGGTCACACAGTGCAAGCTTAACTGAAATGAGAGGGAAGAACATATGGACACAAAGCTTCACCAATCTCTTTCCCTGCAACACAAAAGTTATATATCTTTTTGCTTCACAGTACCCAAAGCAAGACAGTGATGTGTTCTTAACAAACTGTAAACTGATTGCAAGGATTGTGGGGTTTTTTTTAAAAAAAAAGAGGTAAAAAAATTAATCAGTAGATGTCAAGCACCCTAGAAATAACAAAAAGTCAATTGGTGTGTTTTGAGTCACACAAGGAAACATTTATGTATCCAGATACTTTCACATACCCTTTTTTTGTGACACAACTAGTGCGTTTGGTTTTCTGTATTAATCGAACAGTCTCCTCATATGATTCTAGAGTATAGCTAGGATTTGCGTGTATGAGGAAAGAGAAAATAAGGTTGTTCGTCGCACCAGTAAAGTACACTTGAATGGCTGGAGCTGTGGAGAACAAAGACGAGATCAGCATGTCTTATATCCAGCCGTTCCTCCCAAAGGGGACCAAGACAGCTAACATCAAATATACAGCATCAAAATATACAGCATCAAAAACAAGCAGAAGCACAGTACAAAGTAAAGTGGTCCGTTGAACGCTAAATTACATAAATACAGATGATGTCACACTTATTATGTTTAGAATAATTAATAGTGCTTTCTAGTAGATTAGAAAAAGCAAGAGACTACATCAAATGTGTTCAGGTGGTTCCCCCATCAGTTTATGCAGCTGATAGGCCTTGTCTTTGCAGTGCGTGGTACTCAAGTCACACACACACACACACACACACACACACACACACACACGTCTTTCTAGCTTCGCATTGCATGGGCAGATTACTAATGGTGAAGGCGTCAGGAAAAGTTGCCCACTGTTTGTAATCACCTCATTGAGGAATCCCTGCTAAGCATCCAAGGAACCCCAAATTTATCAGAATACAGTTCAAAAAACAATGCATTAGTGGTGTCCAAACTTTTTTCAAAGAGGGCCAGATCTGATGAAGTGAAGGGCCGACCATAAGGGCCGACCAAAGACCAAAGTTGTTGACTTTTTTTAGGATTGAAGTTGTTGAGGTTTTTTTAGGATTTTACCTTAGGAAATAAACTGCTACAGGGGCCAGATTAAACTAACTGGTCCCCTAAATGGACTTTGGACATGCACCAAAGGTGGTTTCCTGTTAAAACTCTTCCATTTTGGTCGCTTTTCTTATTTACCTAATGGGCAAGTCTTTAAGAAAGGTCCATGTTCCCCAGTGTGACACTTCAGCACAAAACTCAGAGGGTGGGGGGGAAATGGACAGAAAAGACAAAAGGATGACATTGTGCGCAGATTTTCTATGTCTTTCTCCCTCTGTGTGAATTGCTCCAATGTGCTGACCATATTATCCCCACCAGGTTGTCTTATGAATTACTTGTGTGAGGGTGGGGAAAACCTTTGGTCCTCCAGATATAGTTGGATTCCAGTTCCCATCCTACCTGACTATTGAATGCACTGGCGGGGGCTGATGGGAATTAGAGTCCAGTAAGACTGGGGGGACACAGGCTCCCCATCACTGTGCTAAGGCGCACTCTCAGGCTACATGAGGGCTCCCCGTAGCTTGCATTGACCACAGATGTGTCACATCACTGAAGTAGGTTTCCCCTTCCCATTTCTACTTGAGAGATATCTTAGGAGAGATAGCAACTGGAGGATCTTCATTTTGGGCTACACAGATTTGCTAGCACCTCTACTCTGTTTCTGCCCTTCTACAACCTTACCCAACTAAACTGATGGTCTTATATTTGAAAGCACAAGCTTTCAGTCAGTAGTGTAGCAGAAGCTGAGCACAGAAAAACCCACTGATATCAATGTGTTGGAAGCATACAACTGCTGTATCGGGATAATTAATCCTGGAAATGACACATTAAAATGCAGATCGTAACAACTGAGTAAAATCTGATTTGCTTTGTGTTTGATCTTGAAAAGACCACTTTGGTAGAACATCTAAAGGCACACTTTGATTCAGGCAGTTTCATTTGCCAGGGAGGTATTATAATATTTATTTTAAATGGTTCATCAATCAATGAACAGTTAGATTCAAGACAGGTAATTGACTAAACATTGCTGTAATGGGTTGACAGCCCTACTGTTCTCCAGATTAGTGAGTAGAATATGAGCAAAGCTTTGTAACCAAATCAAAAGGGCATGGGCTGACATTGCTTCCAATTAAAGATGTGCATTTTTACTGAAAATAGGAATGTCACAATTGCTTTTGCATCTGTAAAACTCTCAGACAATCCAACACTGTGATCAATCTCCACTCTGATAATGTATAGTGACATTGATGGATTTCTTTCTCTTCCAAGAGGATCAACCCAGGGAATATATTAAACTAAAAGGCACGCTTCTTACTTTCAAGGAACACTCTTGTGCATTGGGCCTGATCCAATTGTATTGGTTTTGGCAGGGGAATACAATGATTGATGGTGGCTGGGAAGCTGAGGTCTGCTTCGGCACAGAGTCCTGGAGTCTCTTGTCTTAGAGGACTTTCTACTGGCTCCCTGCTGGTGTCAGGACATGCATGGGGAGGGACAATGGGACTGGGTGGCCCATCCAAATTGCCCCTTCAAATGCACATGGCAAGTTCTGACCTGCCAGTTCAAGAAGAGATGGCAAAAAGCTGATGGGAAATTAATTCTCAAGAGTTTGTCAAGACATCTCCAACAAGTGAAGATAAATGGCAGAACAAAACTTCTATGGATAAACTCAAGAATAGGGATGGGGGAGGGAAACTTTATTTTGCATTTATGGTGTGTGTGTGTGTGTGTGTGTATGTGTGTATGTCTGTTTTTTATAGGATCAGGGCATGGGGGGAAATGGAATCCAAACCTTGGAAAGAACTCACTTTTCCAAAGATATATCCT